TAATTCTGCAATAAGATTCCAATTCACATATTTTTGCACGTTACAAATAGTTACTGAACTTTAAAACATATTTTTAAATGCAGGTTTCCCGACAAATGGATGCCTTTAAATTCAAAATTTTTGCCCGAACAAACCTTATTCAACTGGTACACGGCCTGAAATATGCTGCAAGTCGATACTATATTCATATATCATACTATAATATATATAATATACCTCCATATACATTTCATATGTCTACACCAGTATCATTTATAAAGTATTACTATCTTATTATATTCTTTATTATTTTCTTAAAAACCCCCTAATGCTTACCACACCACCGTCCAGGCAATTTTAATACCTTAACCACGTTTTCAGACTACCGACAATTATTCTCCTCTCCGTTCTTCTCATCATGCGATCGAGTGGTGCCACGCCATATCCTTGCACCATCTCTACTGTGGAGGCGGCGCCTTTGAACCGCCGCGCTTGGCGAGCGGCTTCGGTCCCATCGCAGGAGCGCACGGCGGCGCGGCGGCCGTGCGGCCGCGGGCGGCCGGCGGGTTCGGGAGCCCTGCGTCCCTAGTGGCCGCTCGCCAACCTCTTGCTGGCGACCATGCTGCGCTGCTGGCGGGCGGCCTGCTGCTCGCTGCCACGGCCCTCGCCGTCGAGCGAAGCCTTCCACACCGCCGCCATCGCCACCACCACCACGGCCGCCACCACCCTGCCGCTTTGTGCGCGCACTAGTGCCCAGGGGCGTCTATAGAAGACCAGGGGACTGGGGCTGTTGAGTCACGGGGGCCCATCATTTAAAAAACAGTCGCTCCTCCCCCAATTCATAAAAATAATTCATTTCTCCATGCATCAGAAATAACTTACAGCATAAACATTCAAATTATGTTGAGCATATAAAGTGCATATAAAATGAATTAATCGACTACATCAGTGATTTTGTACAAACAATTGCTAAGGTCTGATTATTTACACTCGGGTAGATGATACGACAGATATATCATACTGTAATGTAATGCACAGGTGTCTCGGTGTTTCTTTGAGGAATATTGTAATTCAGAAGAAACTTCTTCTGCAGTTAACCCTTCAAAGCCGGAATTAATTATTATTCCAAAATTGTTTCATTTCAAGACTAATTATTTCATATAGTAACTTAGATCATGAAATTGATTTTTATTTCTTATTTTCTGTTTTCATTCACACGTTATGGGCTGGTACCACTAGACACAGCCATTTTCTTAAACGCAACTCAAAATAGTGTTGTAATATAACACGAAGGCATAAAAGAGGTATAATATTTTCTCCTTTCGCTCCCGCTTCCTCATCTGGACTCTCGAATCCATCCTCGCCCCCTTCCTCTCCAGCGTCCTCGATATAACGCTCGCCCCGCCTCAATGTCGTGCTGCGTCCTCTCTGTATGCCATTGCCTTCTACCTCGCTTCCGCCCCGCCCTTGCTTCCCCTGTGCGTCGGTCTGCCTCGCCGCCTCCACCCTCGCATCCACACTTCCTTCCGCCTTAGGCTCCGTCTCTGCTTCCACCCACGGTTCCGCCTGTAACCTTGCCTCCGTCCCTGACCTCGCCTTCGCCCCGACCCTTGCCACGCCATCGCTTAGGCCCCCGCCCACTTCCGTCTCCACCCCCACCGGCATTGACACCGTCATCACCAACAATAACGTAATTTTCACGCCATTATCTCTATAACCCTAGGTTAAATCCTTTATTATTTTTGTAGATGAAATATTATAACGTGTTCTTTAAGAAATGTCTTTACACACTTTTTGCTATCTTTGAATTAGAGTGCAATGTTTGAACAAGTGAAATAAAAAGTTGCCCTGGAGATAAAAAAATGATCGTTTCAAGCGAATTGTTTAACTATTTTAAAAGTAAGTATATGATTAATCGGAAAAAGAATGAACCACTCTCAAACTTTCAAATAGGTAAAGAAAAATATGGAAGAGTAGAGGTATTCAAATATTTGAGATCTCTCATTACTTCCATGAACAATACAGAAATGAAAATAAAAGCACGTATTACCTCAGCCAATAGTTGTTTCAGAGCACTAATATATATATATATATATATATATATATATATATATATATATATGTATATATGTATATATATATATATGTATACACACACACACACACACACATTAAGACAGACCTTGAGGTATCTATGTATATTTCTCTAAGTGTATAATACGGTAATAAGACGAGTAATATTGTATGGTGCCGAGTGTTGAACATTAACAAATAGACTAGAATGTGTGCTGATGTCCTGGGAAAGGAAAATCTTAAGATGCATTTTCGGCCGCCAGACATTGTTGCAGAAATTAAGGGCAGAAGACTAAAATGGATCGGACATCTATTATGAATGGAAGAAGAAATAATCCCAAAATTATCTTCTGCAAAGAACCCGAAGGAAGGAAGAAGGAAGGAAGGAAGGAAGGAAGGAAGGAAGAAGAAGCAAATTGTGGAAAAGTGCCCCGCGAGACCATCTCAGATTATGATTTTTACTTTCAGTATAAGGGAGAGTTAAGTAATGCTGCGGAAACACGATTTCAATGTTTCTACAGAAATACACGTTTTGCGGCCCCCAGATACCGAAAAAGTTGTTTTTTTCAAAACGTCCATCTGGTGTCTGAACACTAGCGACCAAACCATGCGTACTATTTTTTTCCAAATTGAAGAAATCCCTGTCCATTTGGCTCGAGTCGAAACTTTGATATTTTGAAAAACATTCTTTAAAATTTGGGGGTACTTTATATGTAGCCCTCCGGACATTATCAAAATTTTCTCAAAAACTGCTCCAATTTTTTTCTTTGATTTTTTTAAAGAATAGAGCAACAGACACTTATAAACGTGGCATAGGCCAATTTTCACGTTTAATTCTAAATTTTCGAAAATTTCAAAAGTATTATTTGTTGTGGTCTTCCTACAACTACAAAATTAAAGATAGAGATTTTTCCTTCAAATAAAAAAAAAAGTTCTCCATTGTTTATTTTATTAAGATCATGTATATTTGTTTGAAAATTTTCGTAGTTTTTACGCATTTTAAAAACTGACAAAACCAAGATTTTCTCTAGAACGGCTCTAAATTGTTTCTTAAAACGTTTGGTTGTGGTAGTGCTAAATGCGCTCTATAAGATGACATAAACACCATATTGCTCTATTCTTTTTTCTTTCAAAAATTCACAAAAGCTCACGTCGTTTATATTTACATTAGCGACAATTCGTTCACATTATTTTATTTTTGAGTACGTGTGCTTTAAATAAAGTCAGATGATGCGACTTGAAAACTCAACTGTTTTCTGTCAAAACTAGCTCAAAATTTTGCATTCTCACAAACGTTCAATCGCTATTTTCTCAACAACTGCTCTAAATTTTTTCTTTTGACTTTTCGAAAGGATAGTGCTAATTGCACTCTTTAATATGACGTAAAGTTCATTTCCGAGTATTTTTTTGTTTTTTCAAAAATTACACAAATTTATTTCTTTTAAAAGATCTTACATACCAACAATAAGCACATTTCCAGCAATTTGTAATTACTATTAAACTTGAGAGTTAAAGTGCTTCAAATGAAGTTTTTCGAAAACTCAATATTTTCTTTGAAAGGAGATTCAAATTTTAAATTTACAGTAGTGCTTCAATTCCATTTTTTTTAAATGGCTCCAAATTTTTCAAAGAAAAGTCCCATTTAGGACAAGGTTTTACTGTTCTTTAACATTCTTAAAATCATATTCCCATTCTATTAGGAAACTGGAAAATTTTGAAAAAAGTGTACTTTCGGCGGTGATAAGATGGCAGCAGGCAAGAGTATGTAGCAAGTTAGAATAGCTAGTAAGGAAATAGAAAACTATTACGAGAAAGTGCGTCATTCTGTAGCACCACTAGTTTACGATTAGTTTCACATGTCTGAAACAAACTGTGGGAGTTGTAGGTACGAGTTTTTGAGATACAGCGGTTTGTTTGATCCCGTAAAAAAGGGGGGCGGGGAGGCTCTGGGAACGAAAATGTGGATACATTCTCTTGCCATATACAGTAAATTACTTCCTCTAAAACGTGATGTTGGCAGTACCAATGTTTTGTGGACCCTTGCTACCGAAAAATTGATCGACGCCAAAACGTCTGTGATCTGTCCGCCCGTCTGTGGTCAACGATAGCGACTAAACAGTTCGGCTGATTTTCTCTGAGACTGAAATTTCCCTATCGATCTGAACAAACTTGAGGCTTTGGGAGTTTCAACTTGATATTTAGATTTTTGAGGCTACTAAACTTGAAGCCTCAAAAATCAATTTTTTTTATGAAACCTTGTACTCGGATAGCGTAAAGGAAGCAAACTTGCAATTTTTTGGTAGCCTTCCCACAACCATATTGAAGATAGACTTTTTCTCAATGAAACTTGTTACTTAAACGTTAAAATTCTTACAGTAAAAGTTTGGTTCTACCATAAGGAAACAAAATTTTAAAAAATGTACTTGAGCGGCAATAGACGACAGCTGGGAAGAGGATTGCACAAAATCAAAAAGCTAGTACAGTTCAAAGAAACTAGGAATGGAACTAGTACAAGAAAGTCTGTGCAATTCTGTAGCACCAGTAGTTTTAGTTTCATGCTTAAAACCATGAATTTTGCAGAATGGTAACTTGGAAAATAGTTCTCTCAATTTGCACAACACACTGTTGAAAAAGGATGACCAGCTCTTAACTGTTAAAACATTCACTGGATTTTGAAACCTCAGCACAAAGAAATTGATAAGCTCCACTACTCACCAATAGAAGAAATTCTGATTATGGGATAAAGCTTTACAAGAAATTCTTGATATACAAAACTGATTTACACGAATGACTAATCTAGGGATAAGGTAAGAATTATCTCAAAAATTGATCAATACTTACTTTCACAATATTTTCACTGCTCTAATTCTCCAGGTACCTTGTCTACACAGCTCTGTCAGTCACCATCTGAAATTAAGGGTACAAGAAGTACATAATAAAACCAATCATTAAGTCTTCACAATGGTTTTTATTTGTATATGACAAGAATGTACAACTTTGGATGAGTATATTCATTTTTTAAAGTACATTGTTTTAAATAGCACCAGTATCATCCATTTCATGATCTATCAGAAGTCACTATGACATTCAAACTGTATAGTACTGGAAAATAGTAATGTACAAGAGGTGTCTTTCAAGTATGGACAGTCAAAATACTGTTCATTACGGAGATGCAGCCAACCACTTACGACAACCATTAATCCAAACTTCACATCAAGGTAAAACTCATTACAAACAGCATGTGTAACAGATCTGGTCTGCAACAAAAGCTATACACATAATACAAAATTAATTCAACAGCCTAATCTTTTAAAAAAATTCACAATCACCCAAAGCCAGTAGCAAATTTGTCAGTGCCCCCTTGAGGCAAGGACAATAACAACGCCTTTAATACTGCATATCACTTCAGTGGCCCTCTCGTTACCCAATGCCTGCCTGTCATTCAAAATGACTTCGACAGCACTTTTTGAGTCTGATACTGTGATTTATTCCATACTCTTATTAAATGGTTAATGATTGTTCAATTCCATTTAAAGGTTATGTATAAATGGCCTAAAACCTTATACATTTCCAGTGTTTCTTTTTCGGCATAGACAAGGAAAATAAATTAATCCAATATGCAGTCAACAATTAATCTGGAACTCCACATGACAGTCTTTTGTATACACAACAACAAATGCCAAAAATACCAATTTCCCCAAGACCACTGGGTGGTGCCATGAAAGGTTTGGTATGCTGGGGCTCCATGACTGGTGATATGACCTTAACAAAGAATTCCAGTTTCCAACCGCTTCCTACATCTGGTGCTCACATTCCCTCACCATAGTCACGATCTCCAACATTAATACGATCCTGGGCTGCGGTCACATTGAAGCCCAGAATGCGATTATCAACTTTAAACATTTTACTCTTCTTTGCCTTCTTTCCTTTGCCCTGAAAGAAAACAAGCACTTTAATGAACATATAGTATTTAAAAGAAAAACTGTACAACCTGATTTTCCATGTTTATGATCCTTAAATAAATTTTGGTTTTGTTTCTAAAATAAATGTTTCAAATATTCAAAAGGGAAAATCTTTAAGTTTATCACAAAGCAAAAAAATAATTAAATTTTAAATTCTGATGTTAATACAATAACAATATCCAAATAAAGTGGAACTTTTATTAATTTCCCATTGGCTCAATTTAATCTTCCCTCACCTTAACTTCTTGGAAGTCTGTGCTCAGAGGGTTCACCGCTGGAGCAGGTACACACATGTCATCCTCCTGAGGCACAGCACGCTGGGCACTGCGAAGCTTAGACCGTCTCTCCAGAAACTGTCGAGCAAACTCTTGAGCCTCCTTCTCATCACCCAGGTAGAGCTTGACATAGTCCTTCACATCATATGGCGACTCGATATCACGAAGAAACCCAACAAATGTGGGAATGTCCACAGTGGCTTGCAGATTATCGAGAGCTTTTGTACACCACTGATCGAACTCATCACCACGTTGTGACTTCTGTTCAAATAGTTTCATTACTAAAGCTTCATCTTTCTTCGAGCGAGTTTTATTGCTGCCTTTGCCAACTGGAGCAACAGGTGTGGGAACTTTAGCCTTGGGAACATTTTTGACTGTAGGCTTTTGGACTGCTGGGGGAGACACTTCTTCCCAATAGGTGCTATTCCCTGCAACAAAAAAATTCATTATGCCTTAAGTCCCGTTGAAGTTTTTATACAAAAAGGTTAATGAAACTTTTATACATTTAGTGAAAGAAGTTGTCTTGTACACAGTCAAATTTTTTATTAAATTGTTTGGCCCATCACCTATGAGGAGAAATTTAACATCCCATCTTCATCAAGATTTTCATCCAGTTTCCCATGACCCATTGAGCAAATGCTGGAATGGCCCCATGTTTGGCTTCTGGGCAAAAATATAGCTTTACTATGCACAAGATTGGTTGAGCTCTCCTTTTGCTAGTTGTGGAAGGAGTAGAGCCATGGGTATGGGTTGTAATTTTGTTAGCAATACAAAAACTAAATACTATTTTTCCCTCTCCGGGTCTGGCTTTGACTGAAGCTGCACCCCCTTGCGCCACCTTGAATTTCATCCATTCCCTCTCATCCGTAAAAACGTACGATACAATGGTTAATAATATGATAGGTTAGTAAATTATCAATGGAGCATATCAATGGAATGCACATAAACAGGGATGCGAGAGTACTCTGAAACCTGACATGGACCCTCTTTGTACCAACAAATTCCACTTGGAACAATCTGAGATCAAACCCAGTTACCAGTGGTGGAAGGTGCTTATTCTGACTAATACACAATAGGCTACCCCCTTGTTAGCAAATCAAATCTGTAGTTTGTTTAGCTATGCAAATAAGTTTTCTATAACAAGAGTGAAAATTTCTAGTTTTCAAATGATGTTAATTTTGCTTAGGTGATATTTTTATTCAGCATTCAACTATGTAGTCAAAGAGTGGGGAAGGGATTATAGAGTAAAAGAAAACGTGCCAATTATACTTCTCCACCAAACGTCAATGAAGTTTTTATTGTTTTTTTTTATGAAAATAAATCAAAGTTAATCAAAATTGCTTTAGTCCAGAGTTCAAAAACTTCAGAGAGTACTAAAAAGTTTGTCCTTTAAGCTTCACAGACTCCTCACTAGTTATGCTACTCTCATCAACTTTGGTGAATGTTGAGAGACTTGTTTAGAATTACAGTGACACGCTCAACCAACCATCTCAATCACGGTGAGATAAGAGACTCTGGATGTCATTATTACAAGTAATCTGACAATGCATCCTATCTTATAAGATATTAAATCATCAGTAATCTTCACCACTTTTCCGTTTCTCTAATTAATACAGTTCAAAGTTGCTTGAGGTAACTGAATAATAAAGGTCAATGTATGAAATATGCCTGGCTACAGAACAGAGGGAATATTTACACTTGCCTTATGGAAAAATCAATTGGTTCAACAAAAAAATTGTCGTTAATGGAGGGAACTGCTGTATCGAGGTAGCCACTTGAGCAGATATCGTTATATAAATTTGTACGGTAAAAAAATGGAAATGAAAGTGAAACTCATGTGTGTCCATTCATTCATGTATCATTTACTCATCTCAAGTATTTCATTAATACAGTACAGTCACGGTAATCCGGGCCTTGCTAATCTGAGATGGCCTGATGTGCGCCAAGTCACTATACAAGCAGTTACAATCAAGAGCTGGCTCTTGAAAGATTGGCAACACCGGATCTAAAGTGACGTGTGTGGTGGTTGGTGCCAGGGTCACCAACCAGTGTGTATTAGATTGTTGAGACCGATTCACACATATGTATGTGTTTGTATGTACCTGTAATTTTAATAGTATCTGCACATTAAATTTGACTTCATTATACATTGTAGTTGAAAATTCTGATATAATTTCCCTTTCTCCCATGTAATCCGAGGACCATCAGCTCAGATTATTGGGACTACTGTATATTGCGTATATTGATGAATTCTTATATACATGTTCATATTCATGTACTAATTGTATCATTCATGTACATTATATTACAATTTAACATGAACCCTTTTTGCTCTCTCTCTGAAATAAAATACAATAACAAACGCACATATGCACAGTATTTTGAAGTGTAAGAAGAACAATGAAACCCAAAAGATAAGCATAATTGAAAATAGATCATTAATGTTTTGCTTTCTGTTGTATAACAAAAAGTAATTTCCTGCAATTGACTCCCCCCGAATACTGAAAAGTGTATATGAGGCGTTTTACTGAATATGGGTAATTAAATTTTTAATTCACTTGTTAGTCTTAGTCTCAACAAATAAACTCACAGAAAGAGCAGTGCAGAAATTATTTACAATAAACCTAAAGGTAGACTGCTTAGTGAGTGCAGTTATTCTTACCAGTGCTAGCTCCTCCCCACGCTGAAGTAGAGTTGGTGTTGGCAGTAGCAGCAGAAGCCCAAGTGAGGCTCTGAGTCGCAGTGCCCCAGATGTTGACAGAGGTAGGAAGAGGTGTTTCTTTTTGCTGCTGGGCCCGTTCAACTCGTTCACGTTCCATCTGCTGCAAACAAGGTTGGACTCATTCATACCTTATATTGATTTATCCAATGGCACTGTAGGCCCCCTACATTTTTCACGATCTAAATTGTGCCTGCTCTGTTCCACTCCTCAAGATGGGGCAAACAACTCTTATTCCTTGAACCCATTGATGAGAAAACAGGCATGCTAAAAGGTACTTAGGTCTAAAACATACATGGTTTCATTTTTAGCTTTGAAAAAATTATTCTCAACTACAATCCAACAATGGGAGGTTTTAATATAAACTGAAAGTGTGCATCTTATTCTACAACAAGAAAAATAAGACAAGAGCCTGTGTCCTAATATTTTTGAATGATTGACATAGCAGCAAAAAATGTACGAGTAATTATCACAACAAAAAAAGTCCATCAATCTAGAAGTAAATTTATTATATATTTGGCAATGGGGCTCATTGTAAAGCACATGAGAGGGCAAGATGTTCCCTTCTAAAATATTTTAACATATTTCTGGAAAAGTACAGACCTAATACATAGAATGTTAGAACAGTGGTTGAAAGATAAGAGGAGCAAGCGGCGATTGTTATAATAAACATTATTTGCTCTTTGTTCTCCAGTTTTATGTGCAAACTTCAAAGCTGCCACCAGGTCACTTGCATAAAATGTTCTAAATAATATATGAGCAACTGAATGAATGAGAAAAAGACTAAGGAAAATGTGATAACTGTTTGCATTTCATTATTTTAAACATTTCAGTTACGACTCTTCATTTATTATTTTGATACAATTTTTTTCTCTCTCTCTTTCTCTTCTCTGTGCAGCACACCTAGCATACATTTCAAAAAAGAGCATGCCCACTCAAGGGTTAATTGAAGATGAAGGAAACTAATATGAAGGAAATAAATAGGATAGATTCAAAATCAGAATACATTTTTGACATTCCCAATATCAAACACTCACAAATAAATAGATCAGGAAAAGCTGTATGAAACTTTGAAATTTCATTCACATGTTCATTCAACATACTAAATCATGCATAAATGGTTAGTCATGTTTCATTTTAATTTTCCTAAATTTAACATGACTCTTCCACATATGAAATTAACATCAGATGTGTTTACAATGTATCAAATATATCAAGCAATGCAGCATATTTTATAGTATTATCAATTTTTCTTATTTCTTTCCTCTCTCCTCGCCAATTAAATGCTTTGATACACCAATCATATGAGATGGTGTGCTGTGCACTTTTACAAACAAAGAATATTTGGCACATTATAATACTCTTGTAGAAGTAATAACAATTGTAAAAAAAAATTTACCCTCACTTCTGCATTGAAAATTTCCAGGTAAACTCCCACATATTTGTCTTGTTTATTTATTGCAATTTTCGTGAGGACATGATTATTCGTGATATGAAAAGTCAAACAGACGAATGCTGACCAGATATTAACAGCACAAATATATCTCTATCCAGACTCACCTTCGCCAACTGCTCTTGTTCTTCCGCCTGAATTTCGCTCAGCGACTTCACTTTGCTGGCAGGGGCAGGTTTCTTCTCAGCCCATTTCAACTGCAGACTGCCACCTCTGGCAGCTTCGGCTGCAGTCTGCTGCTGTTGGAGCTGCTGCTGCTGTTGCTGCTGCAGCAGAAGCAAGGCCTGCTGTTGCTCCCTCTCACGGGCTTCCTTCTGGAAAGAAAAAGAACTTCTCAGTGGTCAACAAAATTAATCAAAATCATTTTGGGAAACAGGAAAATACTAAATCAAATTTGATGAAATCTGACCAACTAAAGGGGTCCAAGCAATTGCAGAACATACCCTTCTAGAAGAACACAACAATTTAAGAAAAGGCAGGTCTTGTCTAGATTGATCATCAAACTAATTCTTGAGAAACATCACAGAACGAACCTTGCAATTTATCTTCTACTTACAGATTTGAAGAAATTTGGTATGGTAATAGGGCATAAGCTCAGAACAAGCAAAGCATTAGCTTAAAATCTAATGGGAAGAAATAATATGCATTAATGATGAAACTATTATTCTAGATGTGAATCTCCCAAACACAAAGAAAAGGGAGTATTTAAAATTAAGAAAAGAGTTGGACAAGATCCATTACCACCTTTATTGTTTAATATTTATATAGACACACTTCTCTCAGAATGGAAGAATAAATTAAAGAATGATGGAATTTCACTAGGAAAGGACTCTAAAGTAAATGCTCTTTACTTTGAAGACCACACATTTTTGTTTTGTAATAATAATAATATTAATAATAATAATAAATAAAAAGAGAAAAAGCAATATAACTACAGAAAAAGATCCAATTTTCACTATTTAGAATGCAACAAAACATTTCTTAAGGACTGATACTTGGCTGTCCAGAACAAGCCGCGTCAGTGTTGGTGGAGCTGACTTTACGGCCATCATGTTGTGGTCTTCTTCAGAGCTATACAGCTGAGCAGTATAGCTGGTCTCAGGTCTTTCAGCGTCCAATAACGTTAAAAGAAATTCGCATAATAAGATTTCTTCTCCAAATAGAGAGTAAATAGCATTTTTGAGAAAGTACTACTAAATTACCAAGAAAACAGCTTTTATAATTATAAATTAATTATAACATTTATCGTCAACAATAACAAAAGTATTCCAAAATTATAGTTATATTTCTTTCAGGTTTTTCATCTTTTATCAGTAAGTTTTTGAATATTTTTTTTGTTTTCATATTTTTTCAAATATTTTCATTTTAAAAATTTGGTTTTATTTCAATATTTTTCAAATTTTTGTTTCTGGCCACCTTTTTAAAAATTATTTTAATGTCAATATGCATTTTTTGTAATTTGTTTCCTTTTTTTATTACAGTATTTTCATTGTTTTTTCTGGCCCCATTTCTGCTATATACATATCCTCTTTTCTGCAATAGGCATCTCTTCTTGCAAGATGAGTTAACAGCTTTGCCTAAATGTGTGTGTTATCAGCAAAACAGTCTGCGACTAATGGAAAATGACAAATTCACTAAAATGTCCTAATACAATGAGAGTTGTTGAAATGGGAGGCCTTGCTTTCTTTCATATTCACATTAAAAACATAACATATTTAAATTTTTGTGTATGAAGAGGTTGAGTTTCAAAACCCAGAAATCTCCACTTTTTCTGAAATTTGGTTATGGGTATAAAGTCAATTTTCACAATGATGCATTTCACCCAAAATACATCAATTCAAAATTAGTTATCTAGATAATGTCTTGTACAATTTTTTGAAAATATGAGTAGTTATCATGTAATTTTGAGTTATCATTACAAATAATGAGAGAACGAATGCTGTTGTAGCACCATTGGTTTGTAATAGAAATTGAAGTTAATATGATAAAATTGGTTGTTGCAAATTAAAAAAAATACCAAATATGGAAACAATATTATCTTCCAGGGCTTTTTTGTGTTGCATAGTATATAGGTGGAAATTCAGCACTGTCTTAATTAACCATGTTAATTAACCCTGGAGTAGTCTGCACAACCATACAAGTTCTATGGTGTTGTCTTCTACACTGTTATAATTATTTTTCTGGACATTTTTATTTTCAACTGTTTCTGAGTTTCCACAACTTCTTAGAGACACCTAACATCAAAAGAGACAAGATTAACAGTCAAAGTATTAGAGTAACGTAATAAAATAAATAAAATGAGAGAAAATGTTACCTTATCTTTTTACTTTCTCCTATATGTAGTACACAGAGAGCATAGTACGGCTGCAAAAACTCTTATGCGAGTTCATGATACACAAAAAGTGTTGTTTTCAAATGCATCTGTCTGTCTGTCTGTCTGTCTGTCTGTCTGTCTGTCTGTCTGTCCGTTCGTCCGTCGGTCTGTCTGTCTGGGGACAACACTCCTTCCTTCTCTCTAAACCTTCCATAGGATTATGTCCAAAATGGCTATTCCCTGATCACTGGCTGCACTCAAGGTCCTGGGAATTTGAAATGGATCTTTTAATTTTTGAGATAATTCATGCAAAGCCCTTGGGATTTTCAAAATGTTCTCAGAAAGAGCTTTCTTTTAATTTAATTTTTTCCCCTAGAAACAAGCTATGCTTACACAAATGAATAAATACCATTTCTATTAAAACCTCTGAAATTTGAAGGAGAGAAAAAAAAAAAAGAAAAGAAAAGAAAAGAAAAGAAAAGAAAAGAAAAAGAAGATAGAACTTGGGTACAATAGTTAAAGCTTTAGTTTTTTGTTAATAAAATCTAATCTTCAAAATTAAAGTCTTTACATGATTATCATGCACTTATTTTAAAAAAAGTACTTTGAAACAAAAATTTTCCTTCTCTATGCATACTTACATGCAATAAAATTTCAAAATACACAATAAATTAAACTTCAGAAAAATCACCATATATTATCTGACATAATTTAACCCCTCTGTTTATTTTGTAAAGTGTACCTTCCCAAATATACTGATTTAATTTTGTAATTAAGCAGAGGCTTGACTTACAAAAATTTGTCCTGGAATGCAGCCCAAATTAATTTTTAATTTAATAGGAACACTTGTACATTTGTAATATAATTAAATAACTTATATCAAAGTTAATAATAATAATAATAATAATAATAATAATAATAATAATAATAATAAGTAAAAGTGGAACAACTTGCTGTAAGTGAATATAATTATTATTATTATAATAAATAAAAAAATTATAACGGTATTTTATAGTTTTTTCACTAAATTGTATTACATACATAAGAATGATGCAATTAAATGGAAAATTATTTATTTTCGAGTTCACAAATGTGTGTTGAACTAAAAATCAAAGTTGTCAAGCTATTCCATCAAGTTCTGCCAGAAATCAAGCCTTGGTATTAAGTATGATGTTAAGGTAATCATATTATCATTTTTGGAAAATACAATAACTTTTGTAATCAAAAGTTGTACAAAATGTGTCACAGTCACTAAAACCGATGACTTACTGCAACAATAAATAAATTACTAATATCCACGCTCTTTGCACACTTGAATTTTCAAAAACAAAACATTTTAAATTTTTTAAAACCATGAGACATTAATATTTATCTTAGAGATATAAGATCACATATTTTCTTTTTGCAGACACTAATACTTTATATGATATCTTATGAAGTTTCACAAAATATGAAAAGTTTTGAGGTTTTCCTCCTTGATAGGTAATGAGACCTACTGGCTGTAAGTTCTTGGAAGTGAGTGGTGTTCAATATGACCTCTGATGCAGTCCCAGGGCAAATTTTTTCTAAAATTTCCCCTTCCAACAGAGCAAATTGTGCTAATAAATAAGGTATAAGTCCACTTATCATTAAAACCTCTAATTTTTAAAAACTGAAAATTCATAACTCCCAACTGCTTTTTGGGAGGTCACTGAAGAATTATCAGGACACAAGATGCATATTATCATATTATGAACAGTTACAAATAATGCAAGAAAATATGAGTTGTTGGAGCAGCACTAATTTGTGCCATATAATTTCAAATTTTCAAAATTATATTGCGATAGGTCATAAAAGTAGAAAACTAAAATATGTAACTTCGTTTCAAATGTTGCAAAAAGTAGAGAAGTCATTTCACATGTTAATTATTGTTCACTATAAATTCATACATTTATACATAGCACACCAACTTCACATAAGATTCAATAAGAAAAAAATAGAGAAGTTCTTATTGGGGCAAGTCATTACAATTTGTTCAAATGACCAAGTTCTGGATATAAAATAAAATAAATATGACAAAAGCTCCTTGACTGGCCTTTCGATATGTGTAATGCATGGAAGCGTAAGGGAATACAGGGAGAGGAAAGGGAAAGGAGACATCACACTTGGTCCCTGGCCCATTTGTTAGGGTATTGCTCTGGCACTCGCCTGGTATTGATGGGAGAAACAGTACAATAAAAGAAGCTACAACAAGGTGATACAATACGAGAGTTGCATATGAATACCTACACAAACTCGACTAACATAAATAAGTATTTAAATTTATTTATTTACATTCAAGTATGTACAGTTCTTACACAATATGCACCCGTTTCCCCAAACCCATGCATAAACATGATTTCTCACTCTCACATACACTTATATCTCATACATACCCACATCTACATTTACACTAACAAATATCCACTTCCCCCATGCAAACATATACATATATACTCTCATTGATACACAGTCGAGCAAGCATTTTTTTTCCTTTGTTTTCTTTTTTTCTTTTTTTAATACAAACGCAATATATGAATTTTTAAGCCAGCTCTCTTAACATCCAAATTGTCTCCATCCACATTGTCCTTTCACATCACTACATTGCACTACACTACACCACACTACACTTTCACTTTCTTCAGTTATGCTGTATAGCTAAATGATACAGCTTGCAGCATATTGTTATAGCTTTCCACTGCACTACACTACACTTTTTCTACACTCCACTGTATTTCACTTAATTATTGATAATCAGTTGCACTAAATAGTAGAACACATTGATTACATGTACTTATTCAATCATTTTGTTGAAAACACAAAGAGAGCCAGGTAAAGGCTCTACCACTGCTGCAGAGAAAGGCTGTACGACTGCTGCAGAGATTTCATTCCCATTTTTAACAGTACGATTTACAAATGAATACCCCCCTACATTTGATCTTTGATCTCTTCTTTTTATTTTGTATTTGTGGTCATTTTTTTTCTTTTCTTTTTTTCTTCTACCCACAGAGGTGACTTTTTGAATGCCTTGAAGAGGCAGCACAACCTAGCCTATTCTATGTATACTACCTCTATAGGTTTTGGTGGATTTGAATTTCCCACAAATCCTTTATTTATGAATTTGATTGCTTTTTCTCTAACTTTTCCATCTGACATAATCTGTAGGCATCCTAATCAACTGACAAGTATTGGCATAACTAATGTTATGCTATTTTTTGACTCCCCAAGTTGCTTTCTTTTTAAGCGTTCTCTTTATGAAGGGTAGTAACTTCCACACTTTTCTCTGCAATAAAATTCTGCCATCCCTCATCCCAGGTCCTGGAGTAATATAACACCCAGAAAATTACAACACAATACTTGTGAATTAGCTATGCCTCCCACGTGATATTCCAAGCAAATGTTCCTTTTGTTTTCGAAACGCTCAGTAATCAACTTGTTACTGCATTTATCTTTGTTTTATTTACGCTAGCACACAAATATATGCTATCTAGATCATTTTGAAGCATGAAAATATCATCATCTGAATCTATTCGCCAATAAATTGTGTAATCATACACAAATAAGTGCTTCATCAACTTAATTTAACATAACATGTCATTAATGAATGACAAAAATAACAGCAGTCCTATGACACTTCTTTAATGAACTGGATGTAATTGAAGTTTCTTCTGACAGTTCATTACTGACATGGATTTGCTGAAAATGATTTATCAAAAATTTCCAAATCCATGTTACTGCACGTGCGTCAACTCCAATTTTCTTATAATATAACATGCAAAACAAGATTGAATCATCTAAAAATCTATGACAAAATCATCAAAATGGATAATTGAAAAGCAGACTCTGATGGGATTCCTCCATCCTTTTTAGTTAATTGTATTTACATAATAACACTGATTTTGAAATCGATTTTTGAGAAATAGTTAACTGAATGTATATCTGTCCAAACATTTGGAATTTATCGTTTATAATTCCAATTTATAAATCTGGTAATAAGCACAACATAGAGAACTATTGCCACATCTCTATAATGAATATTACGCTGAAAATCTATGAATCATAATTATAGATCAAATCACATCACTTATTAACCCTTTACTATTCTCTGAAGAACATGGTTTTTGTACCGAAACTACCAACAGAATAAAATTCAGCTTGTTTTATGCAATATACTATATATATAAAGCTTTTGAAAACAGTTTGCAAGTTGATGCAATATATACCGATTTTAGCAAAGCATTTGATTCAATTAACCACTCGATATTAGCCTATAAATGATTAAAATTTGGTATACAAAATAACTTATTAGATTGGTTTATGGACTTCATATCTAATAGAACACAATTATGTAAAATTTAAAAACTTTATACCTAAACCAGTTTTTGTTATATCAGGGAATCATAAGGGTCACACTTAGGTACAATTTTATTCCATGTTTTCATTAATAATGTATATACTACTCTTGAGAATTATGTTAATCATCTTCTATTAGCTGACGATTTAAAAATATTTCTAGAAACTATGTCAGAAAAAGATACTCAAATTATTCAGTGATGCCTAAATCTCATATTTCATTGGTGTAACATCAATGATATTTATCTCAATATAAGCAAATGTTTCTCAGTAACCTTTTCTAGATTATGAAAATCACAAAACACTATATTTAATCAAGGATACTGATCTCTTGCATCTGTTGAAGATCTTGGAGTTATTATGTATTGTAAATTATCATTCCCTGAACCTATCAATAATTATTTTACTAATAATGTGCTAGGATTCATTTGAAGATCACGTGAATATTTCTAATCTACTGATACTTGGCGTAGCCACCCATTTGGACGCCACACTTTGAAATACATACAAGAAAATTAGAAACTGTTCAACACTTTTTTAATATTGTTGCACCAAGTCTTGATCTTCCTGACCCTTTATGGCAATTATTCCGCTGATAGTAAACAAAGAGATTGGTAAAAGACATTATGAGCATGTTGCATATACAGCATTCAACCTGTTAAGTTGAGAAATAAAGAGACCAAGTATGAACTCTAAAGGGATAAAAGACAAGACAATGGTTCAAAAAATTGAAAGACTCCAAAAATATTTTAAACATTGATACATATGGGCATAACTGAACCAAGACATAGTTCTTTTTCCTTCTTACATTCTTTACCTTACTCGAACTCACCTTACACCAAGTTTAATTACAATTCAACTCATTATATAATTTAATTTAATTTATTGTTATTTAAAATGTAAAATTTGTTAGTTTTCATTTATTCTTTACAAGATACCAACGAGCAAACCTCTCTGACGGACAATAACGAGATTATTATAGGTCCACTTAAATAGAATGGAAGGGCTTCATCATTTTCATACATCGTAAACAATTATGAATAAATAATGTTTGTTGATTTGATATTGGAAATATGTAATGTACTCTTGTCAGAAATTGGAGCAGAAAGAAATCATGATTTTTTAACTTCAACAGAACAGTCTCATTCAATTAAATATAAGTAATGAAAAAATAGGTTATTAGTCATCAAACAAAACGATTCAATATTACAATTTTGTGTTTAGCCCCACACTAAATTTTTTATTACATTATAGCAAGGCAAGACTTTGATCCACCCTACAAGCAGTTATAATACTTTATGACCAAGTCAAATATGTATGTCTAATTTGTTTTAGGTTCATATTTTGTATTGTCATTTATTGACACGTATTTTCAAATCAATACAAAAGGCAATATTACTTGAACTGTATGTAATTCTTCTCACCATTTGCACCTTTTTCAATTTACGTGCTAAGGTTCGAATCCCACAATCTCAATGGTGGCCACACTCTTAGAACAAGTCTCTTCTCTCCTCTTAACTGCCTGAATTTGCACTTGAGTGGCTCACACATGGCTCCTGAGGTCAGTGGAAGTACAAAAGGCTGTGCAGGCCTGCCCTAGGGATTTATTCTTTCTTATATTTTGAATTCTTTCTCTAATGAGTCAGAATTGTACTTGGAATTTTTCTCCTTGAGTTATTCTGAATGTACTGAAAGTATCTAATCCTAAGCAAAATACCAATATGAAAATGCCCAAAAAATTTCAGCTTTTCCTTATCTGTCAATATTATTTTATGTTTCTGTAAGGGTCAGAAGAGATTCTTTGATTTCTCTTTTTTTGTTTTCCGTATCTATGATAATTTTTCCAACTTATCTGCTTGTTTAGTAGAATTTTAGGGAGGCCATTTTCTAACACTGCACCATTTTACTGTATTAATTTGTTATGGGGAGGATTGTAAAGAGTCTACAATGAAGACCTGTTAGTTTAGCATATGCTTTTCTGACCACTCTCTTCAATTTCCTGATTTCTGACATGTAATACCCTACATCACTATTCCCTTTGCCTATCTTTATTGGAACAAATAAATCTCTGCCACTAAACACTATTCGTTTAAAAGTTCTATATTTTCTCCACATTTACCATGCGATTCCCAGGTTTTGTAGTTCCCCATTATTACTGCAGAGCAAACCATTGTGTCTGCTCAATTCTAACCGTTTTGCTGTTTTTTGAGCACTGTGTTCCCAGCCACATTGCTGTAACACATCACTGTGACTTATACTCAGTGGTTTCTTGAGCTATCAACATTTACTTTGGGCAAAATAAAAATATATACAGCACAAATATATATACATACACATACAGCAAAAGGATGGGGTAAGGATTCTGGACCTCAACAAAACATCCACATATTATACTCCCTCCCAAAAGTCACACACGGTTTTCCTGTTTTTTATAAAAAAAATTTTTTTAATGAAAATACATAAAATATTGGATGTTTTGCTTTAGTTCAAATTTTCTATATAAATATTAAAATTAGTGTTTTAAAATAAATTAGTATATATAAATTATAATGTATAATGACAGATATTAGAAATAAGCAGGTTGGAGGAATAAAACCCAGCCTACAAGAAGCAGAACTCAACATTCCATTCAACGAAACTGCATATTGTGTTCTACACTGTGCTCAACATGTGAAACCACCTCCCAATCTTTCAAGGTTATACAATTTGGATAGAGCATTTGAAAAAAAAAGTTAAGCTTGATGGAACACTATGAATTTAACTGTTTTTGACGTAAATAAATAAATAAATAAAAACTACTGTTTGTACTGTAAAAAAAAAAAAAAAACTATTTACTTTTCAATACTGCGCTGCATTCCTTCAAGTCTTGTTAGGTCCTACTTAACTCAGGTTTTCTATTATATTTTGTTACTTTTCTTAAGTGTTTGAGTTGTTCGAAGATTTCTCTGAGTCTGTGTTTGGTAGCGATTGGATTTGCTCCATAATCACGAAGTTAAAGCATCCAACAGTGCTGAGCTCAGCCTGACCAGAGGGCTCAACTAAGAGCAGCGCCAATGACAATAAACATTGCACACTCCGTGCGATTCACACTTGGCAGGGTCGTAGCAGCAAAAGGGTTAATAAAGAAATTGTCATTTCTCATGTTCAAACCGATCAGATGCAGTGTGTTACTAAACAATACACTAAAATAAATGCAAAATAAGTTACTTGCCTCCTTTTTCTCCTTCTCCTGGCGTTGAATTTCTACCAGGCTACCACCAACTGAAGGCTGGACACTAGCCTGCTGGCTCCAAGGCGCAGCTTTTGCCCGTTGCTGCTGCTGCCTCTCCTGCAGGCGGCGCAGGGCCTCAGCTTGTCGTCGCTGTTGTTCCTGTCGCCTTGTCTGTTCCTCCTCCTCTGCCTTTTTGCGAGCAGCCTCTTCTTCTTGCCTGAAATTACCAAGAGTTGCTTTGAATGAGTAAATCACCAAACTCCATTAAAAGAAAAAAGTTGAGAAGATGAGAAACAGAAGTATAATTTCATGTTTAAAGCAGGCACTTCCCTTCACTTCTAATAAAGGTGCTGAATCTGTAGCCACATGTCTACAGCATGAAAAAAACAAATCGCATTGGAAGTGACAAGTGGTCAATAATCCCATATCTCATAACACACAGTCCAAATATGCTACAATATCCCGATCAAGAGCCCTTCCCAGTATCTAGTCTTCGTGGGGGGAAAAATCTGATAATTAACTTTCTCTCCATACAAACATTATCGCTGAGAAAGTGGTTAAATCATTACAGAGGTTGGGGACATTGTAACATATGATGATCAGCAAATATAATGTTTCATTAACTTTTTTTTCTTTTTTCAATACAATCAATTAGCTCTCATTAAAATTTGACAAGGCAGACATTCCAGTCCATTTAATTGATGCAGAATTTTATCTGTTATTGCATTCCAACATGAAAAGATGAGAAAATATTATTTTATTTTACACAATAACAGATAATTCTTTAAATGACGAAATAAAAACAAATTGTTTTAATTTCTTACATTACTACCTACAGCAAAAACAAGCAATGTAGACAATTCAAGCACAATCTCAAAACCTTTTTTTATTTTCTTGCATATAACTTACATAGTATAGAAAAAGTTGAGTAATGCTACGGCAATAATCAGTGACATTTTGAGCGAAACAATAGTTTTAAGGTTCCTGGTACCAAAAAAGGGGATGAATCTTCTGATATGTACTAAATATGTAACGTCTTTTGTAAATTTAATACAAGACAAATTGTTTACTAATTTTGTTTGCTTATGTTATTTTGGACGATTGTCTGTGAATAAAGGTTCAAAATAAAATAAACAACTTCCTCTTTAACACACACTGTAGTCCAAATCCACATTTTATGTATTTACTGACTTCAACCACCAATCTTATCTTCATTAGTAAAATTTTGTTTTTTAAAAGTATTGTGAATTTATAATCAAAAACTATTTTTGAAAACACTTAAATGATGAAAAGTTATACTGAAATTTGTGATTTAAGTTATGACAATTCTGATTGATTTTCATTATAATACTAATGATATTATAATCAAAATTGCATGTAATATTCACCATTGATATCTTTTTTCCACAGCAAATTTTGTTTATATTACTGTTACTATATTTATTTGCTACTTTTATTATAAGGCACTATTATTTTTACTGTTCATTTTGACTCTTTTCATTTACATAATATTAGAAATACCAAACAATACTAAAAGTACTTGTCGTCATTGTCATGTACATCAGCTTGTTAAGGCTTTCATTAATAAATTAATAATAAAAATTAAGAGCTACATTACCATATCGTTATTAAAGTGATATTAAGTAATATAGTAAAGATATTTTGTGTACCTTTTCCGTTCTTCCTCTTCTCTTTTTCTTTCTTCTTCTAATTTCCTCTTCCTCTCCTTCTCTTCTTCCTTACGTTTCTTTTCTTCTTCTCGCTTCCTTGCAGCTTCTTCCTTCTTCCTCTGTTCTTCCTCTCGACGCTTAGCTTCCTGAACATACAATTTAATTGCATTAAACAAATAATTATACACTGAGGATAAAAGAAGGTAATTGTGTTTATTAATATAACTTTCATCCTCACCTCCTGTCTCCTTCTCTCCTCTTCAGCTTCTTTCTTTTTCCTTTCCTATAATATCCAAGAATACTGAATGAGCAACTAAGCAATATTGAAATGATCGCAAAATTTATTACAACTGATTTAGATAATAAAAACAAATCATTTTGTGAAACAAACAAGCAAACCTAAACAGTAAAACATTTCACAAGAAACTGAATATACAGTTAAAAAATTATTTGGATGACTATTTATATTACAAAACAATGGGAGAAGTAAAACACGTCTTATTTCTATCTTAAATTTTGTACTTCTTACCATCACATTTTAAGAATTATGAATCCTTAATTTCCCTAGATTCTAACAAACATGCACTGTGATAATTGTTAAATGCAAATAGTCACATTCATTTCACATGGGTATGTGAGTTTAAATACTTGGTAAATACACTTGATGTTTTCATTGTGCAACACTGCCAATTACACTCACTTCTTGACGCTTGCGTTCCTCCTCTGCTTCCTTCTTCTTCCGTTCCTCCTCTGCTTGTCGTTTCTTCCTCTCTTCTTCTTGTCTTTTGTGTTCTTCCTCCATTCGAGCCATTTGTTCCTCTAACCTTTTCTTTTCAGCTTCTCTCTTTTGCAGTTCTTCTTCTAATTGCTTGCGTTGTTTTTCAGCTTCCTCTTGTTTTCTAAAAGCATATTTATTTTATATGAAATGAAATTGTCATTCAATTTGTATAATACATAATTAGCAGACCCACAGACATTGCACACTGTAAATCATTGTTTTAAATTGGAAAATACCTTCATACTAGATCTCAAAATCAAATTACTAGGTCTTCAACTGTGCCTAACATCATAAAAGCAGAGAATATGCAAGAGTAAACATTTTAATATTACTAAGCATATATTACAAAGATTGCAAAGAAGATAAACAATTGAATCATAAGAATATTTTTTTATGTAGAATTTGAGATTCTGAAAGTTAGAACCACCACCTGTGCTTTGGAATCAGGGTGCTGAAAAGAGACAACTCTCCAAAAATGTAATATGACCAGAAAAGTTTTCTTTTGTCTTTTATGGTCGAAGGAAAATTTCATCTCACAAGCCAGGTTTAAAGGGTTTATAATACCCAGTTGCCAAGTTGCATACAATCAAATTCAAGAGAGAACTGATGCATGCAAGAGCATGCCTGAAGCCTGTTCAAAAACCTGTTATTCATAGTTGGGAATTCACCTCATTCATAGTTGTGAATGCTGTAGGAGCAGAGAAAAGGGGAAAAGAGAAATTATTGACGTGTTCACTTATCTGTATATTACATAGATAACTGGTTTAAAGCTGCTACGATTAGAATACGAATGTTGTAACAAAGTGTCTTTACTAGCTGTTTAGCTAAAGGTATTAGTTAAAACATGTTTAATTACAAATTATTACTAAGACTATTCCAGTATTATTATTATTATTATTATTATTATTATTATTATTATTATTATTATTATTNNNNACTATTCCATTCATGAAATTCCAGCCCAAAATTTGCAAGAATTCAGACCAGAGACCAAGACCATTCAAACCAGAAATGAATTGTGCAAAATAATAACTTTTCCATTACCACTACCTCAAAAATGATAATTCCTATTGCTGTTGGTTTAAAAAGGACTGTATATAATTTTGCTGACTTCACATAGCAGTAAAGTAAATTGAAGGTCTTTTAAAATGCTATTCATTGTCATAATACATCATTCTTTCCTTCCAAGAAAGTAAAATTCACATTCTTGACATGATCAACTATTTCCTGCATTTTCCTGGTATAATTTTGCATTTCTGTTCATCAGATTTTGTTTTTCAGATTTTCCGTCTTTTTCCTTCAATAAATTGTCTCCCTGATAGTTGATAACATCCCATCTTTTTCGAAAAAAAAAGGTTTTCATTAAAGTATTAAGGTAAATAAGTAACAAAAAGGAAGCATAATCATAGAATGGAATATCCTTAGCGCATTTTACGCTTGGTAAATTCGTTTTTTGAAGTCCCAGTCACAATTCCATCAAATTACTTGTTAATATGTTGAGCAATCCTGCTTAGCACGTTCAAACTAGGTAATTTGCTTCACGAGAAGCGAGCGTTTGCCGTGCATCAGCACCATCTTCAATGTGTGTGTTTCCAAAGAACTTTGGGGTATTACTTTCACTTTCAGTCTGATTCAACAGCCAGAGAAAAGTATTTTGCTATGCCTTCCTATAAGCCATCTTCATTTTGCATTACCATTAGTTTCTGTGTTATCTACCATGTATTTCTTTGATGTGATAGACTTAGAATGCTTTTTTTTTTTCAAGTGTGTATGTTTTTGTGAAGTGCATTTAATGCTGTGTATAAAAGTAATACAAGACAAATTACCAAACAAGAGAAGTCGAACATTATCTGAGAAGTAGACAGCAATCCTAATGTAGAGGATTGAAAATGTATGTAAGTTAAACGGCCCTCCACCTACCATAAATACAATAGTCGAAGAAAAATTATAGGAGCAAAATATTTGGAACGAGGGAGTAGTACGCAAATGCATGTGTAGGTTTCCCAAGTTGGAAAAAGGGCTTTTGAACTGGATAATGCAAACACATGCATCTAATATACCAGTAGATGGATAGTGATTTGTGCAAAAGCAGCGTATGTGACTCAGCAGATGGGTCTTACAGACTTGCTTCCAATAGTTGGACTGAAAGATTTAAAAACAGGCCCGAGCTAATGTACCAGAATCTTCAAGGTGTTGCTGACAGCATGGACTGACAATATTGAATCATGGAAAGATACAATGCTTCCCAGTATTCTTGAAAAATACAGTCCCAATGATATTTATGTGGAAGAAACGGGTCTGTTTTATCACCTTCTCCCAGCAATGACTTCAGAGTTAGCAGGAGAAAAAAGCCATGGGGGAAAATTACCTGAAGAGGGTCTAATTGTTTGGTTTGACTGCAATGAAAGTGGAACAGAAAAAATGGCGCCTTTCATAATTGGTACGGCTAAGAAACCACGAAGTTTTACAAATTTGTGTATATTTCCATGCCAATACAATTCTAATGGAAGGGCATAAATGACATAATCTATGTTTGAAGAATTTTTCGGGAGTGGGATGCAACAAGGAATTAGTAGGAATTAGGGTAGATTAGCAACAAGAAATAGAAGCCACCTATTTATTGACCAATACACAGACGTCTCCAGGATTCATTGCATCTCGGGAACATTGAAATTGTATTGTGCCCGCCCACTGTACCAGTTATCTTGTCACTCAAACAGAGCATTCAAAATTGTAAAAAGCAAGCATACAGAAAGAAACTTCTACTGAAGAGATTGGAAGAAGAGGAGTTTCTTCAGTCAACAATAAGAAAACAACAATTCTTGATGCAATGTATTTTGTAAACAGAGTCTGGGATTCTGTTCAAGGCTGGCTTTCTTTGAGTGCTCAATAACATCACACCAGTAGATGCAATTAATAATGATGAATGGAACAAAATAACCACTGAAAAGTTAAACAAGGGAGTCCGTTATCTTCAAGGCCTTTGTTTTGTGTGATGGTGTCATTATTAGCGAGTCTATGTCAACAGACTAAGTTATAGAAAAGGTTAATGAGAATGAGGATGAACCTGAACTAGACCCTTTACCAGTTCCTCCTTTATCGAAAGTGGTTGCAGGCATGGAAATAGAGAAGTGATTTACATGTGGATCAGAAAGTAATGAATGCCATAAGTAAGATGGCTAATTTTGAAGTTAGGAGAGAAAGCGAAAAGAAACACATACACTACAATTGATCAACTTTTCAAACCTATGAAAATGTTAAATTTTTTCTGATAATGTAATGCATTACTTTGAACGCTTTTTTATTTATTTTTTTTCTCGTGAGTAATTTAGTTTTATTCAGTATCACTTATGAGTAAATTAGTTCTTCCTGTGGATATTTGCGTGTTATTTACTTACACATTAGTTTTCCCCATTATTGTGGTTAACAAACAAAAATATGAAAAGTATAAATTGAGCATTTCTTGTTAGCATTTTTCGCTGCTTACAACATTCAAAATTTGAAATACCTTGAAAAGCATACTAACAAGATTCAACTGTCTTTTATACCTTCAGGGTCCAAGCTTAAGACCTTTAGTCTCTCTCTCACTCTATACCACGGCAACATGGTCAAGGTCAATAAAGAAAACGAACACCCTTTTTTTTCCTGTCCCTTCCTGGTTAGGAGTTGTAGCGCAATTTGATCTGCCAGCGGGATTTGATCTGACAGGGGGAATAATGTAGTCAATGAGTCTTCGAATAACAACTTGTACACCACCTGTCTGTAACCTTTCGTCTCGTCAGTTCCAAATGACACTACAAGCCTATAATCAGAGTGTGAAAGGGTGGTGACCGAACTGAGGGCGGGAGATGTTAGTATATCCTAACTGATGACAATGTTAAGCCCAAAATATATTCATGATATTTCAGCAATACAAAATAAAAACAAAGCAAGTCTCACCGCTGTTCTTCTCTTCTCCTTTCTTCTTCCGCCCTCATCTGTTCTTCCTGAGAACACAGACATAAAATTATTAAAAAACCATAGGAAAAAGCGAAAGAATTATGCCTTTTATAAAGAAAGTACTAAATATACTCACAAGAATTTGCTGTTCAGTCTTCATGTCTTTTCCATGCAAATCCCAAAGGGAAGTGGGGAGTTGGCCAGGGGGAGCCGCAGGCACTGGTGCCATCTGCTGCAGCCAACTCTGAGCATTGAACGTAGGTGCAATTGTGCCTCCCCACACAGAATCGACCTACCAACCCAAAAAGCACAAACAATTATAACCTGCCCTACAGACCTCTTAAATTGTAGAGTAATATTTGCAGTGACAAGGACAGTTTAGCATACACTTCACCAGAAATCCTATTCTCTTCCGAAACGAATCAGTACATTAAAATAATTATAACATGTTAAAAAAGGTGTCTAAACCTTACTAAAATCTACCAAAATTAACTTTCTTTTCACATCTTTTTTCTCCATACTGTAATTACATTTTATTCAGGAAATATTAATGTATATACAGTGTTTCAAGAACAGAAAAAAATTAAACTTTGCACTAGTCAAATAAGATCATGTTGCTCTTTTACCAATCACAAAGTACTACAAGAATACATGTATCCTCTGTTTCAAAGTCTGTTAACAGATTTTGAATTCTTAGTGAAATTAAATCTAAATGGAGTTTCTAAACATTTTTTTTTTAATTCCATTTGGATCCGCTGTTTCCATAGGGAGAGACAAGTTTGCAATACTCTAGGGACCATAAAATTCCATGAATACATTTTGTAGTATTACAGAATAATAGAGCAATCTCTGTTTTGATCTTAACGCTATTAAATGTTTTAATTCTTTAATTGTGAATGAGCCTTGCCACTCTGTCTGCCATGCACTGGGAATACAACATTTGATAAACAGCTTGATATTATTTGTTGGGACTTTGAGGATGTCTACCTCAGTTTTCTTTGTGGTGGTGAGCTTTGCTGCCTGGTCAGCAATTTCGTTCCCTTTTATCCCAATGTGACCAAGGATCCAACAGAAAAACAAGGTATAATGATGCACCAATAAATTATGAATATGAAGTTGGATGATAAATGTCAGTGGGTCACAAGAAGGGAAGCAGAAGATAGATTTGAGTGAGCAATTTGAATCACAGTAGATCACTGCTTCTTTTAATGGCATTAATTCAGGAAACCTCCAGTGCCTCCAAGAGTGCATATTTTTCTGTAGTAATAAGGGCAGTGCGAATAGTCTATTCGAAGACTCCACATGTCACTGTAGCAGGAGGAGGCACACCATTTTTTGGAGGAACCATCAGTGTTTATGAAGTTATAGCTGGGATACATAGATTTCTTCTCCTGGAATTCCGCCAGAAATCTACTGGGGGAGGGGGTAGAGGATTTGGGAGTGTGATAATCTCAGGTCTATTTTAGGCTGAAGAAGCTTCCAAGAGGGAACAAGACTTCGGGGGGTTTCACAGGGAGGGGGCATTTAATATCGAGTTGCTGCAAAAGCGTGTAGAGACACAGTTATCCAGAGGATGGGATAACAATGGTCTGAGTGCGTACAATGTCCTGTGACTTGGGTGAAGAACTGCTTGGCCCAAAGGAGTGCTTATCACTGGTACTTTTGCACTTCAGGAGCCAATTACAATATCTTGCCTTCAGCTCAGGGATGGTTCGCCAGCTTCAGCCAAGAGCCATTCAATGCGATACTTGCTGTAGACCTGTACACTGGCATTGTGTATGGTATTCAATTAACAGAGGGTCGATGGAGACGCTGACCCATAAACAATACACCCATAATCTAAGATAGGACAGATGATGGTCCTATAAAGGTGCAAAAGATATTCTGTCTGCGCACGTGATCTACCAGTAAGGGTGCTAAGGAGATTCAATGGTGATACACATTGGCTCTTCAAGTTTTGAATGTGCTTTCACCACGTTCAACTCTTGTTGAATGTTACGTCAAGGAAAGTGGCAGATTCGATGAAGGGAAGTTGACTTCCTCAAATTTTTTGAGGGATGACTCCCCCAAAAAAGATCAGGATTATTACGGAGGTGAAGAATTCTACAGAAGTGCATGCAAATGGATTTTGAGGTGGAGAACTTGAATCCAATTTTATTGCTCCATTCTTGCAGTCTGTTGAGGACAATATATTCTCCGAAGAGCACAATATGGCAAAGCCATCAATGAAGAGCGATGCTTTCACAGGCTCTAGAATTACTGATGCAATACTATTAATAGCAATGGCAAACAAGTGACATTCAGAATTGATCCCTGGGGAACACCATTTTTTAACAGATGACTTTAGGATAACATGTTACCAAGGAGACGAGGAAAGATCTTGACAAAAGAAAATCTACTAGAAACAAAGGGAGCCATTCCCTAAGGCCCCAAGAACTCAATGTGCAAAGAATGCTGTACCTCCAGGTGGTGTCATTTGCCTTCTCTACGTCAAAAGAAAAAAAAAAAAAATTGCTACAGGATGTTGTCTACCAGATCTGTATGGTAAAGGAGACCAAGTGATCCACGGTTAACCTGGGCTACCTGAAACCACACAGAAAAGGTGTAAATAGATTCCTTTGTTCCAGGAGCCAACCCGACGTTTGTTTACCATTTGGCTTGCACACACAGCTAGTGAGTGAGACTGGGTGGTTATTTGAAGAGATTCTTCTGTCCTTTCTTTCTTTAAGGTTTGGAATAACACTGGCTTCATGCCAAATCCTTGGTAAGGAATGTTAATCCCAAATCAGGTTGAAAATGCGAAGGAGAAAGAAACGAGCATTTTCCGGTAGGTGCTTAAGCATTTGATTATGTATCTGGTCCTGGAGCAGAATCTTTTGCACAAGCGAGGGCACAGGAAAATTCATCCTTGAATAAAGGAGCATTTTAATCTTCCTCCATGCGACTCAAGAAATCGAATCTTCAGTTCACCATTCTTCTTTTGGTCTTCAGAAAGCTAGGAGAATCGTGTATGGAGCTCGAGATATGCTCATAGTGAGAGGCCAACTCTTCAACTATATCTTCTGGTGAAGTGAGATTTCCATTTACCAGAAGCCCAGAGATGGAGAAGGAAGTCCTCCACCGAGCTGTAGAACCTTTCACCACACTACTTTAGGGGGCGTATAGCAAGAGAGTGATGAAATATAAGCTCTCCAGGTCACGGCCTTACTTTTCTGTGTGGTCAATCTAGCTCTGGCTCAGAATCTTTCATAATTTTTCAGATTATCCACGAGTGGAAACCTACTAAGTGTTTGCCAATACCTGTTTTCAATAACGCACAGCGGTGGCACAGTCAGCATTCCATCATGGCATGGGGGGATGTTGTGGGTGATCCGACTTCGCAATGGTAATTGAGGCTGCATAACGTATGGCATCGGTGAAATGGGCAACCATATCAAAGATATCGTTTTGGCAGTTTCCCGATTGCTTCCCACACAACTCGGTGGGTTAGCCACGCAACGTATACTTCAGGAATATCAAAATTGACCACAATGGGAAAGTGGACTGCAGAGAGCCAGATCGACAGACCTAAAGTGTTTGAAGCCACAGAAAAACGTGCACTTTTGCCAGTATTTAAAAGAATTATGTTCTGGTTTTCAATAATATTTTCAAGTATATTGCCTCTCAAGCAGGTCCTTGCGCCAACCCAGGCGGGATTGTGGGCATTTAAGTCCCCCACAATAACAAAAAGGGACGGGCAACTGAGAATGCATCAAGTTCTTGTTGTGACACAACTTGGCCAAGAGGGATGTATATATTGCACACTGTTAGCAAAAAGGACGGTAGGTGCATGCAAGCTCATAGTTTGAAAGTCGATTCGAACGTTTTGCTCCTCAGAGAAGAGGGAGTCACAGATAAGTACTGCAACACTGTGAGTATGGAGTCCATGAGAGCGCTAGTCTGTCATCTTGATCAAAAACCGATAATATTAAACGTGTGAAGGTAGAGGGGATGATGGGGAAGAAGATCCTGAAAGCAGACTATAGACAGTCTACGGTGAGAAATTATTAATCTCAATGCTTCTGAATGTGCACGAGAGCTGTTTAGATTCCACGAGAGAGCCATTGTAAGGGATTACGTCTTTGGCTTTTTTTCTTTCTCATTTTCTGAAAAGTTGTACAGGAACTTTCACGAAAGGATCGTGACAGGTCTACTGGATTTTTAGCCTGGTGCCAGCATTTGGCCACAGGGAAGGAAACCATAACAGCGACTATTACCTTTTGAATCTCTCTTTCTCAGAGAAAGGAAAGACCCTGGTTGTAGTTAGCCTGATGGCCACCTTCACGATTGATACAGTGCAGTGATGTAGTGCACAGATGTGGATCATGCACTGATGCACCACACATCCCGCACCCCGGGCTTATTGTCATACATCATTGCTGGGTATGCCCAAACCTTGGACACTTAAAACAATGCAAAGGATTTGATACATACTGTTGCACATGGAGATTGTAGAAATCACAACAGATCCTCTCCAGGAGGGATGGACGGTCAAATGTAAGGATCAGGGTTGAAGTAGGGGTCACTTTACCTCGCTCTTTCTTTGAGTGCAGTGAAATAGAAAGGGAAGAACAAAAGAGCCAGGATGTTAACAAAGAACAAGAATGAACAATGAGGGAAATTAAAGATGATTTGTGAAAGAAAGGAATTCTTGAGAGCCCTCCCTGCATTCTCGTCAGTAAATGGACCAACCCACCCCGACGGGAAGAAGAAAAAGATGATCACCATGCATTTCAGAACCACTAAAGTAGCTGTCAACAGAATTAGTCCCTGTTTATTACCTGCAACCTGCATTGTTATGATTAAGAATTGAGGAGATATCAGCCAGCAAGCTTTTGTTTTAATACGTATATTGAATATTATAAATAATTCGACCTGTGCGTTACAAGAAACGTATTCCATCTTTAGTGGCACTACAGAGCATATGAAATTTAACTAACTTAAATGGATATTTGTAGGGTTTTGTTGAATCTTTCGATCCTTTTAGATTATGCATACTATGGTGTATATTGCTGACATTACCAATGCATCAAGTACATACAAGCACTGCAGCTGGCAGGAAATATAAAAGAACAAACACCAAAAAAAAAGACATTTTGCCTGACCAGCCAGAAATTAACTCCACCTGAGGAATACATGACCTTGATGGTGGTGGTGGAGCTTGAGTACCCCAATGATCCTGAGAGCTATGCGAACACACAATTACAGAAAGTTGACCTTAACCGAAAGTCTGCCACATTTAATCTTTGCACTCACTGAAGATAATAAGGGTACAGAAAATTTTGAGGAGAATTTTCCAGATAGTCGTGTGACTAATGCGTTCCCTTAATGCATCCTTGTGCTATGTGACAAGTTTCCTTCAACATTACAAAGAACTTTTTCAAGCTCAATACTTCGTCACTGTCTCCCAGCTTCCACAACACTCCTATCAAATGAAATGACTCTCCCTGTCTTTCAAACGTTGGTGAAATTGAGATAATGGGTCATAAGAATAAAAATGAGCACTTGCTACGGAGCAAAGTGAGTCTACTTCGCGGCACTGAGCAGAAGCTCCATTTCGTATGAATAAAAACTTCGTATATCTCATAAGAACTTGCTTACGTCTCGCAAGCATTTGCTCGTTGTGAAAAAGTGATAGTACAGGCTAGAAGTTTTAAAGACTGGTTTCTTGAGTAACAAAGAGATTACATACGTTACATGTGTCACGCACATTTGTGCGGAGCAAAGAGGAATGTTTTGTTGTCTTGTTCTTTAAATTCAAATATGAGCAGCAGTAACGAAGAACCGGCACTAGAGACCCCGCTAGTTTTTGCCGAAATGCTACGCGAATATAACATTATTTTTAAAAAATGCCAACTTCCGGAGGTACGCTATGGTTGAAAAACAAGTTTGAAAAAACAGTACCCCAAAAATTTCAGAGTAGAAAAGAGTGATAGCCAATTAACATAGAAGATATGCAACATGAAAACCATACTTTGTCCTTTTCGAATCTAAAGATTCTAATAGTCTATATCACAAGAATTTTGTCTTATCTTGTATTTTTTTTAGTTTGCTGCATCTGCATATCAAAACACTTTATAAAATCGGCCAAATTAACCTTACTTTTTAAAAGTGAGTCTGCTACTAAGGTCCCTCCGAAACTGTGGAGTAAGTGTTCACTATAGAGAGTAAATGCTTAACTTTATTCATACCAATTCTGAGCATTTGCTGACCAGTTGGGAGTATGTTCAGAGATGGAGCAAGTGCTCAGAGACTGAGCAATTGCTCACCCACTTTATTCATACGAAGCAGAAAAGGATCTCCAAAACTCAGAGCAAAGAGTATTTGCTTACTTTTATTCATACCACCCAATGTTCATTAACAAGGTAACTGCCTGTTGGGGTACCTATCTGCATAAATCTTAGAAGCTTGTGATGCATTCCCATCTGCCAGGCCATAAATGTAGAGCATATCAGCCTGTTCACTCATAGAAAACATTTGCTTTTCTCCTTTGCCTTCTTTATTCTTCAACAATAAAACAATCAATAGGAAGCTACTTAATTCAGTTAATTATTGGTGGCAAGGCAGGAGCGAATCCTTTAATAGTTCCTAACAAACAATTTTCAGATCAGTTGTCATGTAAATCTGTGACTCAAAGTGTTTTCGTTGAATGCTGACAATAGTCCTTCCCTTTCTAGTCTCGTTTAGGGGTAATTCAAAAATACGTATGCAATCTTAGCTCCTTCAAAACCTTTTTGACATAATTAGTAGAACTTATTAACCTTTGACCAACATAAACAAGCTTCTTCCAATCCTCTTCTGTACCTAACTTGCTAAGTCACAAAATATAATTTCTCTAAATTTGAATAAAATCTCATAGCATTCAATTTGATATATTTATGATTAATTTTAATACGTCCCTAACTTGAAATAAATAAATAAATTTAATCTCACAAATACTGTGAGAGTATTCTCTTTTCTATAAACTCCTTCCTCTTACTTTCATTCTTGTCTTCAATGTGAGAGACCCCTCATCCAAATTGTGTATGTATTTTTCTTTGAATGATATTTAATGAAGTATTGTATTAAAATTTTTTTGAAAGTGATTAGGCAGACGAGCAGACTAAATGGCCTAAGAGTCGCTAGTAATCGTTCTTAGAACTGAACCTCATAGTTTCATTTTAAGAGTTAGTACATTCAATAGTTGAACCATCTAAATATGATGGAGATGTGGAAGTTCCATTTGATGTTTGAATTATACATAAGCCTTCACTAGTAAAACCTTGCACAAAACTTACTGAACTGTAATGGATAGTAAACCCTGACCATGCAAATTATCCTTTTTCACACCAAGATTGTTTCACAGAAAAACAGATTGACAGGAGAGAGTGGCTATTACATAAAGACAATTCAGAAACTTTTCAAGACCACTTATGATCATTACTTTACTCAAAAATTAGTACCCTAACACGAGCACTCATTGCCAATTAAAATGAAGAAATTGGGTAAACTCACTTGTGGCTTCACAACTTTTCCACCCAGTTGTCGCAGAAGACTTTGTATGGGATCGTCAACTTTGTCGGTGGGTGGGGGTGGAGGCGCAGTGTGCATCATGTTGGGCATGTTCATAGGAGTGGCAGCGTTGGGCACAGGCCCCATTCCGAGAGGAGCCGATGGTGCCACAGGTTGCTGTAAGCCTCCCATGTCTCGTATAAGCTGCTGCAGAGGGTCCAGAGGGGGATTAGGAACTGGACCAGAGGGGATTTTGCTGGATTCAGGTACCAAGGGTGGAGGTGCAGGCACTTTCGCTTGCTGCAACAAATGTTCAGCATTAAAAAGAAGATCACTTTAACACAAAATCCTCGCCACTTATCATTCATTCTTTGACATACCTGTTGCATCTGTGAGAGCAATTGAAACACAGGATTTTTTTGTGTTGCAAATGGTCCCAAGGAAGCATCCATCGGCTGTTGTGCCATTTGTTGCATAATGAGCTAAATAAAAAAAAACGAAAATATAATACCAGTACTTCCTCAGCTACAATATACAATTACTGTTCTTTCACATCACGAATGTACCCACTTGCTGCTGCTCCAATGGTGTCAAGGTATTCCACTGTTCAGATTGAGAGAGTTTTCCAACAACAGCCTGAACTGTTGCAGCTTGCCTACACACATTTTAAGAAGCCAAATTATTTTTGATGATTTTAATAAAAAACATAAGAACATTGACAAATATTAGACTATTATCATTTCCAAATTCCTAATTTACGCTAAAATGACATAAAAATAAGAAAAGAAATGAAGCTATGGGAGAGAAATATGCTAAAAATAGTATCTATACTTTTCCTAATGTTGTCAGGTAGAACATCTAAGCAGATATCTAATTCATACACTAAATAGAATCTGAAAGTACATTTGCACTAGCGTAGATATGATCAAGAACTCAAATACTATTTATCAACATCTACAACAATTAATCCTCACATCCACAAACACTGCTTTATGACAGTTTGGTCAAAATCTGAACAATGCAATCTGTATAATTTCCACTGTTTTCTATACATATTTCTAATCTAAGAATGATTAAATGATAACAAATCTAATGTAAGAAAGGTGAATGAAAATGGAAGTTGAATTCAGTCAACACCTCAAAATAACAAAACCTCATAAAGCCAAATTCATTCACAATGAAACTTCATAATTTAAGGCAGGATGGTTATGCAGTTCATTAATTCAAATTTCCTAATACTTTCTAATAAAATTTAATTTTTACACCCCTTTGTTTTCTTTTTAAGCTTTGCTTAAACAATTTTGAATTTACGACCACTGTTCCAAAACGAATCAAATCTGGTTTCATTAAATCTTCATTCGCTGTTCAAAGATCAAGGAAGAATATCATAATATTTGGAGAAGTGTTCAAGGGCTTGCTTGCTCTCTCATGCTGCTCGCAGAACAAAAGATATGAAATTTTTATATTTAACAAATGAGTTTATATAGAAAATGCAACAACAACGCTAAAATTGACAACTGGAAATTCTATTATTGCAGGTAATTTCCTGACAATTCTTACTGGTCACCATAATCAATAGTGGTTTGTGATGCTCAACCACCAATAAATATGTAACATTAAAAGTAATTAACTAAACAATAGCAATAGATTACCACTCTTCTTTAAAGTACAGCAAATAATGTGAACATAATACTACCAAGAAACCAACAACCAAAGCATCACACTGTTCATTCTACATAAGGAAAACTTTATTCAATCTCTTTGTGTTCCTCTAAAGTGAATACATAATTCTCTACTCTATACTTTAATTTGTGGAATCAATAAAGAAACTGTTTACTTGGGGTGTGTGGTGAGACAGTTAATTAGCAATACAGCACCTGAGTTGCAGTTGACGCTGCAGCATATACTGGTACTGGTGCAACAGCAAACTGTCTTGAGGTAAACCACCAGGGATACCTTGTGAAGGAGTGGGTTGGACAAGTGTAGGAGTTGTTGTCGCTACAGGATCTGTAGTCTGCAACACATTCATTTTCTACATTTACTATTATTCCTTTGACATATACGTAGACATTATATGTACTGCAAAATCACAAGGCGAAAGTAGTGAAACAAAGGCCAGGGTGAGAGAAAGAGTGGAAACACAAAAGAATTGAGGAATGTTGTACTCATGGTTAAAATTATTATAGACACTCACTGGCAATGTACCCCAATTCAAAGACATGGGTGTCTGCAATGTCCCGTGAGCCACACCACTTCCCTGAGGCCTGCTGACTATTCCCTCACGAATCTGGTAATAGTTCAAGATGTCATTAACAGATGGCAGTGGTAATAATTCTCTATGATCTTCAATAGCACTCTAGCTTGATTATCCAAAACATTGTGATAATTTAAATGTCATCGAGCACATAAAGGTGCAAAAGAGAAATCCATGCTGACAGGTAAAAGTATCCACAATTCCAAGGATATCTGAACCAGACAGTTTACAAGCGCATGGGTGCCACAAACTTCCTTTAAACCCACAATTTAGTGACGATTCACATTTAATTATTCTCTGCCGTCATGAAGTCTCTTGTGAGCTATGAGGCATACTCTCTCTCTCTCTATTATACAAATTGTATCATGTAGCAAAAATTGCAATCCAAACCCAAGAAACCTTTTTGTATATCAATGCAATATATGGAGTACTCCTTTGATAAGTTTTAATTTTCAAAATCCTTATGATGCAGGACCAGAAGGTACGAATAGGATAATCAATGCAGGGAATGGAACAGGAAAAGAAGGTAAATGAAACACAAGGGTATATTATTCAGGAAGACTGTAAAGGAAAAACACAAGGCAAGGAAACTGGAGCTCACAAGGTCACAAAATCACATACTACTGGTGGAATGAGAACTAATGCATATGTAACATTTTACTGCCATGCAACACAAACAGTATAAAACTATCTAGTTCATGTATCAAAATAGCAATAAAAATAACTTGTATGTCATACTGATTTAAGCTTTCAGGTTAAGTTTCACACAGAAATTAATTTTCATACTTAAAGAATTTAAATGATCTTATGAATGAAATTATGATCCAATTAATAACAGAATCAGCATTCATCTGAATTAAAAATATTGTCAAAGTCACATCAATCAGTATACATCAAGATATTAACATATCTAACACACAACAAAAGTCACAAACCTTTAGTGGAGGCATGGTGGGACCTGGTAAGAATGGTACACGACCCCACTTTTTAATGAGGTCCCCTAACTGTGAGTAACACTCATCACAGCCTCGCCTCACCAGTAACGAGAGAGTGAAGTAGCCAGATCTGAACCATTCTGCCATTTCTGCTGCTGAGAATGGTCCTGTGAAATTAAAATTTCATTTTGATGTAGGAGGCAAATGAGGAAAGGGACACGAGGACAATTTTCAAGATATGTTTTCGTATCGGACTCTGTGAAACTTAATCTAACTATCACAGGGTCTTAAATACCCACCAGAGGGCTTGACAGTAGCTGTGTTGACAAGGAACCTTTCAGCTTTCCTCCCCCAAGCAAGATTAAGTCACAGAACAAAGCTAATGAGGTAATTGTCAGTTTCACCACCTTCGATTAAGTATTAAACATAGTTCAACACTTGATTAATGGTGCACTTAACACTTATGTTAAATATGAGTACCAAAGTTAAACTCTTGCAGAGCTGAATGCTGAAGAATGTGCATTTAAGAAGAGGTAATCAAGGTTATCTGCTTCTTCATCTTATTTTGACTCTTGTGGTCTCGCTTTATCATGAACAAATGTTCAATTATGCCTAACTTCATTACAGTGGATGAAGACAATCTAGAGCAAAACCTGATTTTGGGTGAACCTAAAAGAACTATGAAAACAGTCACTGTCAGATTTATTTCACTTACAAATTATAATGTGAAGGATTTACTTCTTTTTTTTAAAAAAAAAAATTGGGTGTAATTATGATCTGCAAATATTCTAATTTCCCCTCAATTATACATTGCAGAAATTTAATTGTTTGTTGACTACAATGGGATATAATGCAATTGACTTCAGCAAGACAACAGCTCATATGATTAAGGGGGTTAGAAAATATTCAATCTAACTTCCTTGCACAGGATAACCTCCAGACCTGCAATTGAATGGAATATACTGTCTTAGAATGCAAGGCCAAAAGGGCTATCTCAAATATCACGAAAACACTGTCAACTTAATTAAGTTTATAGATTTTGAGATGAAACAGATGCACTATAATTGTGATTAATATTGTCAATTTACAGGTAATTGTAATTTTCGTGATTCTTAACCTTTCTTTTTTTGTTTCTTGAACAGATTTCATTTTTAATTTCCTCCTGGCAGCATTCTTGTTTTTCTGTGTGGTAAGTTCCCTTTGCTACAAGCAACGGTTTTCCTTGACTTACTTTCTCACTACATAGACAGAGTTTACTTCTTAAAATTTCATTTTTTACTTTCCCGTACACATTTTGGGGTGCCCTGATACCGAAAATATTTTTTTCAAAACGTCGATCTGTGTGTCTGTTCGTCTGTCTGTGAACACTATTAGCACCTACATCATCAGGCTCAAATCTTATCATTGAGATTAAAAAAAGAAATCTTCAAAATTTGGGGGTACATTTACATGACCTCCCCCCTGACCCTGATATTTTTTCAAAAACGGCCCAAACATTTTCTTTACATTTGTTGTAAGAATAGAGTAAAATACACTTATAAAAGTGGCACAAGTCCTATTTTTAGGTGTAACTCTAAATTTAGGAATATTTCAAAATTTTTTAGGCGTCTTCTTACAATTACAAAATTGAAGAGAGAAATTTTTCCTTCAAATAAAATTTGTTCTCCATAGTATTTTTTTCATTAAGGTCATGTACACTTTTTTTAATGTGCAATTTTTAAAAATTACAAACACAAGATTTCCTTAAAAGTGGATCCAAATTTTTTCTTTAAACTTTTAGTAGTAATAGTGCTAAAAGACCTGACATCATCATCTTTACCGAGACCTGGCTTCATGCAGACATTCACAACAGCGAACTCAACCTTCAAGGATACAACATACACAGACAAGACAGAGAATCTCAACAAAGAGGTGGAGGAATACTCATAGCGGTTATATAGTCTTATGCTAGTATCTTACTAAAATCAAATAGTGCAGAGTTTGAGGAAATATTTATCCAATTGACTATCGGCAAATCAAAACATTTTTGGCTCTGTTTATTTTCCTCCAAATTCACCTCCTGAATCTCACTTACAACATTGCAATAGCATTGATGAACTTTTGTTAGATAACTATACTTCTTTAACAGTAATCGGTGATTACAATTTACCGAAAGTCAATTGGATAAATGAAAACGTACGACTGACAATGACCGAGAGAATGTAACTTGAAATCAGTTTTCGACAAAGCATTGATTATGTCAAATTGTGCGAATCTGAATAATTTATATCAAGTTAATAACATAACGAACTGTACTTTTGAAACTCTTGATCTGTGTTTTACATCAAATTCTCACTATGATATATATAAAAACTATGATCCTATATTATCTTGTGATAAGTACCATCCAGCATTATCATTAAAATTATGCCTTAAATACAATCACATCAAAATTATATCCAATATCAATCCTATATTTGAATATAATAAAGCTGATATTCGATCAATCGAAAAAGACTTAAATGAAATCAATTGGTCACAAATGAATCCATTAACGATAGATGAAGCTTGCAAATTTTTTTACTCACAAATTGATTTGATTTTTGATAAACATATACCCAAACGTATAATTTCTAATAATGGGAGTACAACAGCTTGTTGCTGCCACCATTAATAAATTAATAAATAAAAAAATGGTCAAAGATAAAAGTCTCAAATACCTATTAATTGATAAAAAGAAAGCTCATTTCATTTCTAAAAAGAACCCTAACTCTGACGATGCAAAAATCAAGTTTTCAAGATTACGTGCGGAATGTAAAGAACTGAGAAGAAACATTGATAATCGTCAAACTGAATCGATTGAGAAATCTATTGACGAAGATCAAAAAAAATTTTGGAACTTCATTGATGACAGAAAATCTGAAAAGGGCATTCTCCACTTAATGTTAAACTAGGCAATGATTCTGCAGATTCTGGAAATGAAGTAGTAAATTTATTTGCGAAACATTTTAAGTCATGTTACTCTAATAATCCAACGAACCCTTAATCTATTCAGTTTCCCGATAGAAATGACATCATAAATATTACGCCAAATATAGTCCTTGAAAAAACTGAATAACTTGAGGAATAAAATTTAGCAGCCGGACCAGATGAAATTCAGAAATTATTTTGAAGAAATGTGCATCTTACATTACACTTCCTCTTTAGCATGGATTTACGATAAATCCTAAAAATCTGGAATAATTCTCTACGAGCTGGAAAATTCAGTTACATAAAGCCAGTACATAAATCGCGGAAGTAAAAATGAAGTAAAAAACTATAGACCCTATCAGTATTTTATCTTACAGTAAAAAGCCAAAAATCTTTGAAGAGATTGTTTTAGATTTAAAACCATAAATGGAAAACCACATAATTAATCAACCACATGGATTTATTAACTGGTCGATCACTTGACAAATTTACTGGATGTTAGTCATGATTTACATCAGTCACTAGAGAAGGTGCTCAAATCTGGGATGTGATTTTATATAACAACTCAGTAAGCGTTTGACAAAAGTAGATATCAATATTTTATTACAAAAAATTCATAAACTCAATCTGTGTCACATTCCTATGAACTGGGTCGAATCATATCTTACTGGAAGATCCCAAATAGTTCGACACAAAGAATACAAATCCTGTAAATTTTTTTGTAAATTAGGAGTTCCCCAAGGATCACATTTGGGACCATGGTTCTTCATTATCTATATAAATTATATCGAAGCTTTTAAAAACTCTTCATTTACTCTTTTCGCTGATGATTGCAAAATTTGGCGTAAAATATCTGATGTTAATGATGCTAGTTTACTTCAAGACGACCTAAATCGAATGATATCATGGTGTAACGAAAACTAACTTGAGCTAAATATAAACAAATGTAAACTACTTCGTTGTAATCGTGGCCATACTGAAGTAACAGTAGATTATAGTATTCAAAATACAATAATTGAATCTGTTCCACACATTAAAGATCTGGGAGTAATCATGGATACCAAAATAACTTTTAATAAACACATTGATTACATCGTCAACGCTTCACTGAAAAACTTGGATTTATTAAAAGACAAACTGGTAAATTTAAATCAATGAAAACGATTAAAACTCTTGATAATTCCCTTGTCAAATCAAAATTGAAGTATTGTTCTTCAGTCTGGACACCAAATGCTGAATATCTTAGCAAAAAGATAGAACGAGTTCAACATTTATTCTTCTCTTATGAAGCTTTCAAATTAAAAAAACTAATCCGAGGTATAATCATGACTACAGTGAAATAGCTAGCTATTTGCAAATACCAATGTTTGTCATCCTCGAGAATAGTACACGTGTTATTTGTGAATAAATTATTGACTGGAAGAATTAAAAGTACATCACTTCGAAATATGTATCAATTATATGACTATCCATACACAATGCGAAGATCTACTCTACTGAGAGAATTTGACTGTAGAACCGACTATTTCTATAATTCTGCTATATCACATTTAGCCAGAATCACCAATACATATACGAATGAAATTGATTTGACTCGAAATACAACGTCAATAGCTAAAATGATCAAACAACTCATATTAGATTACACTGGATAGATATGCAATAATTGACAATACTTATTTTATGACAAACGAATATTTTGTAATCTTCAAGAGCCTATAAAATATATGAAATGTATTTAGGCATTATATGCCTGTTGGATGATTAATAATAATAATAATAATAATAATAATAATAATAATAATAAAAATGTAGTCGATAAGATGACATAAATGTCTATTGCTCTATTATTTTCTTTTTTCAAAAATTACAAGATGCAATTTTTTTACTTGTCTCTCACGTTGTTAATATTTATATTAGCGGCAATTTGTTTGCATTATTATTTTCATGAGTACATGTGCTCTAAATAATGTCATACAAAGTTTCCTGAAAACTCAACAGTTCAACAAACTCAATAGCACTTAAACACCAGTTTTAAAAATATAGGATCCAAATTTTTCACAGAAAATTGCCACTTTGAACGAGGTTTTACGGTTTTTTAATGTTCTTACAATAATATTTCCTTTCTACTATTAGGAATCTGAAATATTAAGAAATTTTTTTTTTAATTTACTTTGGGCAGAGATGGCATCTGGCAAGAGTATGTGGCAAGTCCGAGTAGATAGCCGAGACCAAAGGAAATAGAAAAGTCTTTAGCAGCACTAGGACAGATTAGAGATTACATTAGAGATTTTGTTTTTTTTTTACACTTCCTCTTCCACTTTTTTGTAATCAGTTAAATTGTTTATATGACCACTATAGGTAGATGAACTCTGCAGGAAAACTCACAATAAAACTACGAAACTACCCTGACTTGTATGTCCCTCCCCAATCTAAAAAAATGTATTGACAATTTTTCTGTTAATTTCAAATGAGGGTCTGCAGGACTCAGAAGAGGCAACAAGTGGACTTGTGAAAGCATCCTTGCAAATTACAAGGCAATTATTGCAACTTATAATTAGTATATGAGCAAACCCCATTGTGTTACATTTCTGTGGGTATACCTTACAAAATACGTTACACATTAACAGCAATTAAAAATTTATTTCCACACACTATTATGACCAATCATATAAGTGTCATCACTAGGTTGTAGATGTTTTTATTGTTGCAGTTGTTCATTCGCCTGTTGATGGTTTTGAAATTTATATGCTGAAAGCTTTCTGAGGCTAGCTGACTCATGAAGTATTTTGTTTGATTTTGCAATACTAGACACCTGGTCCACTGTACTAGTATATAGTTTCTTCTTTTGTTGATAAGCTAATCTCATCTTTTTTATAATTTTACTAGGTCGTTTCCTCATAAGATTATTAATTCTATAAATACTGGAAACTAACCGAAAGTATATTATATTATTTAACAAAATGTGGCAACTCTTACAGTAGAAAAAGAAACAAAGCGCACTTTAACTGAAAGTTCTCTGCAAACACATATGCTGCGAAAGAGAAACCATAAAACATTTCAAAAGAAAGAACAAAACGTAACAAAGTTATCTGCCTCAATCTCATATGCAATACACATGTATAGACACTGAGGTAAACACACCAAAAGCCATTCTGAGAATTAGATGAATAGTAGCCCCCTCCTAGTTGAAACACAGATATTTCTACAAAATATATTTCAAGACACAGACACCCAAAGAAAACCTCACAGAAAACAAATTTTCTCTCTCGAAATAGTGAATGCAAATGTATGAAAAAGTAGCAAGATGAGAGGCATGGCTCTTGACACGCATGGTCATTTAAACTTCCATAGGCAACTTCCACTAGGCATTGAAATGGTCTCAGGTTAAAAGTGAAAGTAGGTAATCAATCTTGAATGTTATCTAAATAAGGAAATTGAAATTTTCATTATTTTTCGCAAAATTTCACCCAAGCGTCCCCTTTAAGTTTAGTTCTTTTATCAGAAAACCACATTATGCATTCATTCTTTGACAAAGATTGAAAGAATCCCATTAACTTAATCATTTTGCCTACAATGCAACTGAGATTCTTAGAAATAAAGAAAGGGTACAACATTAAGCAATTAGTGATTTAATTCCAACATTAAAAAAGTAATTGCTTACCTTGAACTTCTCCTTGAGGATCTCGATAGAACCACTTGTCAGAAGCCTGCCGCACCGAAGAGGTTCCCATACTGGGAATGCGTGATGTAGTCTTGTCTTGCCCTTCTTCGTCATATATTAACTTGGCGACCAAGTCGTCAGCCACCTCTTGCATACGTTCCATGTCATCTTCTGACTTCTGTCGACCCACTGGTTTACTCGATGGCTGATGAAGCTGCATGTTGTTAACAGGCTCTTGGGTGCTGGGAAACCTATGATCAACATTATCACTAACACAAGTGGCAGTATTATCAGGCACTATCAAGGTAACATCAGGAGAGGGCTTTCTAGTTTGTTGGGCATCAGCATTGTTTGTTGCACTGTGCTTCCCATTACCAGTTGTTTTAACCGACGAAGTTGTTTCACTCATATTTTCTGCATTTACAGGAGGTTGTGTAGGTACGGAGTTCACTTTATCACTCGATTCACTCTTCGAAGAAGGCAGCATTGAAACATCAACAATTTTGTTTTTTTTCGATTCAGATGAAGGCAAGTTTTTGAACGAAGGGCCAGACACATTCTCATTAGATATTTGCTGATGAGTGGAGTGATGCTGATGTTGTTGATGTTGATGAGCGGAGTCGATCTGCTCCACCCCAGGGCCTTCCTCTCTCCTGGGGTGATCATCTTGACCAGGAGGGCCGGCATCATGGCTCAGTCCCCCCACCCGCCGGCTGGGCTGGGACTGACCCTTCTTGCTGGAGTTGCCCTCTGACAATAACCTGGTCCGTGGCTCCCGATGACCTCGACCCATTGGGCCACCATCCTTCAAAATAGAAGAGGAACCCATCAGCAAAAAGCACTAAAGATGTCAACCCATACTTTGCCAACTTAAATATTGGAAGAAACCCACTTACGAGGTTTCAAAGCTTCAACGAAAATTCATATAAATATAATAATTTCTATTAATGATGAATATAAAATAATTGTCAATACACTTATTTGATAAAATCAAAACGTATTTCTATAACATAAAATTAAAACATATTTACACAAATATTCAAAAATTTGAAACATTCTCTGAATTTGAAAAATTTGAACATAATCTGAAAGGTTTGTGGGAACTTGAAAAAAACACCATTAAGTTCTTTGATTTATAACCAAAAAGTTATAATTTTCCTCTGAATTATTCAATAAAATATTTTATTCCTTTTGCAATCTTAATCTACTCTACCAGTTTAAAAATTTAAATGTTATTGAAACGATGCATAATGATAAAAAAAAAAACTGCCAAGAAGAATTATTTGAACATGCAAAATATAATTACACAAAACAGCAAGATCAACAGATTCATTTCAATATTTTAAAGAGTATTGTTTCACTAAAAGGTTCAGTACAGTTAATAAACATAGCTTCATCTCATATGATTCAAATTACAAAATGTGGGTCCAGAACATCCTGGAGAGTAGGTCTCCTTAAAGTCCAAAACAGCAACAAAAATGTTTAACACTCTTAAAAATTAAAACGAAATAGAAGTTCTGTACATCCAATTACAATGCAAGATCATATTCACAATATGTATGCTTAGCGATTAAAGCATAGGCATCATCAAAAAAGACATTGAATTGCAACGCAACTGCTTCATGTTATACCAATCCCAATTTGTTTGGGTCATAAAAGGCTCACGAAAATTCTTGACAGTTAAAAAAATTAATAAAATAGAAATAAATGGAAACTGCTGTAAAACCCTAAAAATGTGAAGTTGAATTTACTAAACAACTATCTAAAATAAGTAACATTGACATATCAACAGTACAAGCAAAAGAGGTCCATCAGAGAGCAAATAGCTAAATTTCAAAACAACACAGTAAACAAAATCTCCAAGGCTGAAATTTGAAAGCGGTCATGAAATATACACGGAACTTACCTCATCATCTGAAAACCCTCCTCCACCATGGAAAGCGCCAGAAGCATCAAAACTTCCACCGCTTTCACTAGGGTTCTCCATCGCCCTGGTGAAACACATGTAAATAAAAGTACTCCATTAATTAGCATATCTTCATAATACTAAACGTACACACGATGGTATGAATATAAATATTACTCTGAAGACTGCACTCACAGCCTGAATTAATGAAACAAAGAAAAGATTTCTGAAACTTAGAGTAATCTCACTAGAAGTTTCAATTATTTTAACAAACTACACATCACATCACATCGCATGCATGGTAAAAATCGCATCCTTTTTTAAAACAAAATAAATGGCAGAGATATTTTCTTTAAACACTGACCTTATGATTTACATAACTTAGATTAGGATACAACACAAATGCTACTGATTGTATTTCACATGGAAATTTTAGAAGAAAATGCACCTACAAAGGTGAGCATGTACAAGGTACCTTTTTAAGTAAATGAAATTGAAGGATGATTTTAGTTTCACTACAACACATTCCACGCCATAATTTCCTTTTCACATCTTCTCAGTTCCGTGCCAGAATTTGAAACAAAACTTTTAGCAATTTTAGAAATATTAGAAACTATACCAAATTTTACTAAAAACTGTGATGAAATATTTTCTAAAATAAATACACTACAACAAGTTAAAAACTACTCTACCATTCAGGTAAATGATCCTCATCCCAAGGTCTGCGATGAGCAGTGTGCGTTGTTGGAGCATTTTCATTCCAACCCCGATTCCTGTCCCAACTCCTCCCGCCACGATCATCTGCTCCTTCCTTTTCTCCATCTCGCCAGCTGTTCGGGCGACCTACACACAAAATACAACAGCAAAATGTACTATTTCCAAATAGATAGAACGGAACAATTTTAGAGGACCTCTAGTTTTAGAGTTTTGCATCTTGCTAGTGTGTGAATAAGAATCAAAATACTACATAGAGTAATTGGATAACTTGTGTGTCTGTGTTCATCCAGTAAAATAGTGTCTACATTAACCATTAAATAATGTTATTATTGTAAAGCATATAAAGTTTTGAAAGTTTACACAAATATTTATAATTTCATGCATAACGTCTGATGTATCTTGAATATTTACCACTTTAAACCATTTGTTCCATGCTTAATTAAATAAAAAAATAAAAGAGATTCATTTAAATCTCGGCCGCTTCTGCTAAATTATTTTTCTGATTTTTACTATATGCAATAAATCTATATCATAATACAGTTCATCAATCACAGTTATAATTAAATTTAGGTACCTTTTAAGTAGACCAGGAAAACCAAAAACTAAGTAAAAGCGTAACATGGAATGTGAGGTCTCCTAACAATGTTTTGAAAAGTAAAGGAGGGTAGCACTACCATGAACAGAAACAAGGTAATTGTAAGAAAACTGTTTACATATCATACATTACGCATAATCATAATAAGGGGTCACAAATAAACATTTTAAACATGAGTGAGATTCAATTTCCTTCGACCTTCACTGGACCTTCTTTGGATGTGATATTGCTTACAGTTTTTGGGTGTTGAGTGTGGCTAAGCATCTAAGAGGGCTTTAAATTTCATTACACAGATATAAGGACACTAATAATTTATAGATCAAGAGTTAAAGACCTTAGGAAATTTAGCATATTTCTGGAGAACTAAAACAAGCAATAGTGATTTTGAAATAACATAGAAATGTTTTGGATAACTGCAAGTCAGGCACTGAGTGATGTACATGAAAAGCAATTGTAGGTTCGAATGTGAATTAGAGGTCATTCTCTACATGATTCATCAATGCCGTAAGAAGGTAAAGCAAAATCTACTAGTTATTATTGGATATTTAAACTGCTGAAGCAAAAGGATTTATTTGCTAAAAAAAGTTACTCGTGGGTCTGAATCAAAAGGGTGTTTGAAGGAAGAAAAAAAAAAGAAAATGAAAAAAGGGTACAACGTTTAAAATATATCAATTTTTTATTCATCACCACTTCGAAATGATTGCTAATGGATACCTCAAGGAGCTGCAGCTGCTTTCATGTATAATATATAACTGCCTTCAGACCAGTTACCTACAAATTGGTTAATTGACAAAACAGGTTTTCAAAAGTATTCACCAGAACATTTACCATATTTACCAGAATATAAGTCGACTCTGAAGATAAGACAACACCCTAATTTTGATAAGGTTTCCTGAGAATTTTTAAAATTCTTAACTACTTCTTACTATTTACTAAAAATAAAACTGCAAATTGTCTAGAAAATTGCTTTGTTGATCAGGAATGTTAAGTCTTAATGTTAAACTATCATATCCCTGTTCCTTAAAATCATAATCATGGTTTTTGTCACTACCCATCTTCACATGTATCAATGTTTCTTTCGGTTTGCTTCCTCCTTCCAATCTGCGACATATGATTTTTAGGAACCTCAAAGTTTTGCAGACTAAATTGGCATTGTTCGTAGTCTTTCATTAGACGCCACCTAAGACGCCCTTCTGTGAAGCCAGTCTTTCTACCTGTCCCGCACATCATGGCTTCTGTTTCTTTAGCCATTTAAAATGCAGATTCGCATTCACTGGGTGTAGAACCAAAATTCCTCATCAAACCCGCATTGTGAAACAAAAGTCGGAGCATTGGTTTTCACGTTATGTTTCATTTGATACAAAGCAATTCGTTTTGAAATTCTCTCTTTTACTAGTCCTTTCAAAAATATCGTTCTGGATTGCCGGGCAAATTCGCAGTGGATGCCGAGAATTTGAAAGTTAATATAATTACGTATTGTAGAGATGTGGTGCGAAGTATGTGCTATCTTTCTACAGTCTTCGCAGTTCATTGTTACATCAACATTTACGAGTTTTGTTACATGACATTGCAATGTGAAAACTTAAATTGTAACAGACTAGACTTAATCTGCGAATATAAGATGACCCTCACATATTTTAACTTTGAAATTTTGGAAAACAACTTTTCTTATATTCGGGCAACAATGGTACTTCACTTCTCCAACATCACATCACTGTAAATATCTCTCGAAGGCGATTTGTGGAGGAATACATGCGATTTTACATATGCAAGCTTCTCCTAAATGAGATGATAAAAGGAAATTCTATTTAATGATTAAATAGTTGTTTCTTGTTCAGAAAAATAAAATAATACTGTTTTTATACTATTTAATAATAATTATTATATAATGTTCAACAATATTATAATTTTTGGTTACTTTTATTTATTGATCTCGTGTATATGCTGCACCTTTTATTCTCAAGTGTGAAGATTTCATTCCATGTTTTAATTAGCAATGTGTATCTCATTATTAGCTACTATAGCCATGAAAATCAACATTGTGGGCTTCACCTTAAGCACATTTCACAATTCTGATGTAAATACTTCCAAACATTTGGACTTAAACTAAAATAGTAACACCTAGCAGGGGTTTCTACTATCAACAGCATTGAAGATGGTCCATTTTGTACTTTAATATATGATACATTTTGTGGTACAGATGCTGTTAGTATAGTCATGTTCTCTTATCTAATTCCTCAACTGTTAGCTGACTTTTAGACAGACTGCTAGTCTGAAGACATAAGCCGAGTATACATCTCATTTTCTCAACAGTTGAGATGAACTAAAGGCATTGCCCCGAGAATTTAACACAAAGTAGACAGTGTCAATTCAATTAGAAGCTCCTTATACTCATAAAAGAAGAACCAGTGTTGCAAGTAATATACTTTGTTAAGGTTGCTGAAAAATTGTGTTTCTGTTCATTACAGGAGTGCATAATTATTCAATAAATAATAAGTTACTACTAGCTAAAGAAGATAATACGAATGATTTACAAATATTGTACATAAATGCCACTCAAGTTTTGGTGATGAACAGTGTGCTACTGTACTGACTCATAATTGTCTGTTATTTGTATTTTATCTATATTTGACACCAAGACAGAAATACAACTACAGACAGGACCTACTGGAATAGAAAATCATAAATTGGCAATGTTTGATGTAATGATGACTGCTGGCCTGAATGAAACCACAAAAATCAACAGTCAGAAAGGAACTAAACGTTATTAAGTGAGGATGTAAAGTTGGGCCAAGCATGTTTGGAGCAGAGATAAAATAGAATGTCAGGTAATTGTGTGGAGCATTGATGTAAGAGACGTGATGTCATTTTGAAAGAGCATTAATTGGAAACAGTTCTGTGAAAAATTGAATTGCCTAAAATATTTGGGAGAGTGAATGCAGTGAATGGTCTATATGAGATTAGACCTGAATGAAGGACTTATAATGCTTTGAAAAGTAAAGAAGACATATACAAAGGTATCTTTATTTAAAATTGTGAATTTAGCTATATGTTTTATTATAATTTCAGTTTAAAAAAATATTATTCAAGATTATTTCTGATTATGAATAAATGTTTTCTTTTATTTTGAATTGGAGAGGATTTGAATTTAATATTTTCAATAAGTTGCTTTAATCACATCTATTGTGTATATCATAAAATCATCAGTACTGAGTAAATGATATACAAATTCATTACGGTTTATTAATGGCAAAAGTAAAACCATCTCATTACTTGTAATGCCATGATTTGACTGCCTTGGCGTCAGACACATTTAACTCATTGAAGGAAATTTTGCCAGAAAAAAGTGAGGTATTGTCATTTTATAAAAGAACTGTTGTGTTAATAAATAAATGTTACTGAAGTACATATGAGATAAATTTTCATTGGGGACAGTGGCAAAATAGTCGTTTCACAGATCAACGAAACACATGTGAAACCACTATGGTTTATAAAGGGGAAAGCATGCCATATTTTACGGACGATAAGACACATTCATCTTCAAAAAATTGCCTCCAAAATTCGGGTATGTCTTATACTTTGAAATAATACAAAAAAATGTGAAGTGTTGATTTAAAATTCCTACCAGTTGTCTAACTGGTCATATATTCATGCTACAGGATACACTGTCAGACACTATTTGGCAAAACTGGATTCAACTGGCAGCAGCAGCAGTGCACTGATGTGATGAACATGAGATGCAGGGATTCACAAGCTTGTTAACACTGCCTCCATCCTGCACCATCATCACAAACCGTGCCCCTTCTGTCTAGCCTATTATATGTGTATGTTTTCTAAGTCCCTAGATACCTACCTCCACTAATTTACTAACATTAATTGAATTCTGTATAAAGGATAGTAGCAGGTGTTGACAAATCTGATATCCAGAAATGTTTCCTTCCATGATATATAAACTACTTTGCTTTAAAAAACGAGCTACAGATTTGACACAATAGTCCAATCATAGATATAACCAAAATCCCACTCTTCTCACATCCAGCAAAATGAGGGCTCAACAAAATGAGCATGGATAATATGATTGATCATTGCAGTCTACAGTGCCAACGAACTTGAATTGAAGGAATGTGTCATCAGTAACAATACAATTTTCTTTTAGTATATAATTTTGATGACGATTTTCAGGGATTTTTAAGATCAGTTCAATTTTATAAACTAAGATTTTTTTTAAAATCTGGCTTTGTAATCCAATAATAAAAATGGTAAAATGTTATTTTTTAAGAAAATTGCTTAAAAATTAAGGTGCATCTTGTAGTCTGTAAAATACGGTAGGTGTCGGTGCTGCTATTAACAGTAAAGTGCATGAGGTTTTTATGGTTTCCAACTTGCTGCCTTTACCTAAAACTATTTTACTTGTGCACAACTGAATGGTGAAATTTTACAAAAGTACCTTTCACAAACAGTAATTGGTTTGGAGGATCTAGATTTTTACATTTTTGGAGTTATTTCACCCAACAATTCTGTCAACAGATGA